CTGCCAGGAACTGTCCGGCGTTTTCTTTTTCTGACATGTCGGCGATAAAACAAAACGAGTCCTGGGTATATATGATAGGAACACACATGGATATATAAAAACAGTGTGTATATATATGATTTAACCGACCATGATGGTGATCTGTTTGGGATAGGTTAACCATAGAATGATATACTATATAAATATATACATGTATATGTATATACATATGTATGATGGGACAATCTTGTGATAATTCCCCAGAAAGGTTGGCGCAGGAAGTCACTGGGGATCATTGTCCGATGGGAAGCCGAACAGGAGCCTGGCAAAGTGTTCTTGGAACGTGCTCCACTGATGCCAAAGGGTGTGAATCTCAGTACTGACGCCATGATATCCACATTCATCATCATGGATAATATATGGATAATATATGGATAATAATAAATGGATGATAATGGTAATAATAATAACAATCATCATCATGATGATCATGATCATGATCATGATCACATGCCGTTATCATGGCTGATGCGTCCACACCATCTGGCACCTATAGGTGGAGGTACATGGTGATCTACGCTACGCAAACATCACCGGCGTATGACCTTCGAGCATCGAAGGTGCCATCAATCCTTGTTCGGAAAAATTGAAGGCTGACGGTACCTCAGTAGTTCCAGGAGATTGAAGGATGACAGCCATGGAGAATCCAACAAGTACCATGGGATTTGCCAAAAAGTAGCCCAGGGATGTAGGGGTTTCCTTGAACATGTCTCAAACCAATGAATCTGTTGATTGATAGGAAACTTAGGTTATAAGCTTCCTTGAAATTACATTGTGAGTCCTTAGCAGACACGAAACTTCGAGCGAGGGTCAACCCCATAGTATACTGTCGAAATCAAATATTAGATGAATAGCTGGTAAATGCATGTTCAGTCCCCCACATGGAAAAACATAGGGGTCTTGACCACTCAAACACCCCTGAACAGCAAATGTTAAACACAACGATGCATCCTTCATACAACCGGATACAACCGGACAATATGTAATTGAGTATCTCTGCCACGAAGGGGCTGCAATGCTACACATCACATTTTTTTTTGCAGCCCCTTCTCGGAGCATTCAGCGTTTGATTCTTAGGGATTCCCTCAGTAAATCACTAGGTAGGTGGATGTTCATTGTGGTGTCACAGAGGTAAAACTCGTTAAAAAAGCAACATCAATGGTGCGTACAATCTGACAAGACAATGTATATATGTGCCATGCATGGTGTATGCGGCATTGTCAGCATTCAACAACAATGAAGCCTTATATACAATGGACATATATGGATCCCTATGAAAGGATCGATGACCATCCCCCAATATGGTATACACCGTAATTAACATGGCACATGGCACATGGCGATGGGGATACCGGGCCAAGCTGCTCCGGATTCCATGAATTTTCTCCAGAAATCTTCACCGGGGTAAATCATTGTGGCAGCCATAGATCCCCGAAAAACAGGTCAACATTTTCCGTTTCTTAAACATACCATGAATGATGCTGAACTTCAGCCAAGGAACTACCTCATTTTTTGTTTTTGTTTTTGTTTTGGGCAGCTCCATCAACAAGAACGTTCCAACAGCTCGCGCTCCTGCCGGATGTTTCAAAGGCAAGGTACCAAATCAAAGGAGATCAGCCACAGATATTTCTTTCGAAAAGATGTTGGGTTTTACCATGTTTTACCCCACAATTGTAATAGAGAATCACTGAAAAGTGAATGCTGACGGATTCTAATAATTGCGACTTGACAGTTGGAAGAGTCAATTTAATCAGTGATACTCATCTATAGCCTCAAAAGATTTAGAACCCTTTGATACCTGGACCGTGGTTGGGCCATTTCCTTACCTCGATCTGAGACGACTGTAATGCTTTGGTAGAGGTGGCATGAACACACATGATGCCTGCTTTGGTGATGTTCCTTTCTGACAGTTCTGCCACTAGTTCCAGGCTACTATCCAGCCAGGGTCCGGTCATGACTCATGTCATAGTGAGGACGTCTCCACATGTTGAGATCAAAATGGTTAGTGGTAAATAGTGATTAAGAATGGCATAAAAAATCTTAATCATGATTAAGCATATTCCCACTATTTATGAATGGATTAGCCATATTAACCATTATTACCAATGGGAATAAATTATTGGTATAATGGATTAACCATATTCCCACTGTTTTTTGTGAACCACTAGTGGATTGTCTGATACCCAAAAAGGTCACTTCAATTGTCAGGGATCAAAATCCAGTCGCTGCCTGGAAGAAGAAAAGGCGCTTCGAAAAGGCATTTCCTGGAAACCGGCGAGGACATGATTTCTACTGGTGCACAGTCATTTTGGATCCAACGCTGATTAAAACTGATTTAGATATGTACCCTCTGGTCAATTAACATAGACCCTGGCAGTCATCGGGGTTGGAGGCCTCTTTCCATTAAAAAATTGTGATTTTCAGGGTCTATGTTAATTTACCAGGGGATAACAGAAAAGAACCAAACAAACAAACAGAATGGGGTGTGATTGTACCTTTTCCAGGAAAACTATGGAGATGTGAAGCGCTGCTGTTGAACCGAGTGGTGTACCCCCAAATCATCGATTTTTTGCGGGGGTTTTCCATTGGAAACCATCCAGCTATTGGGGATCCCCTATTTATGGAAACCACCTAACATGTGTAATGAACAAGTCCATTAATTTTGGTATATTGTTTCAGTGGATTTCATCTTGTTTCAACTAAGGCATCCTCCTTCGGCTCGTTCATTAGAATTTCTTCATCCTAAAAGAGGTAATGGGCAGCGATGGTGATATCATGATGGGAATATGGTTACTATATAGATGTATCCTTTTATCCCCATTTCATCAACACTATGTGGCAGAACATAATTAAGTAATTAACTAACTAAATAAATATATATATATAATATAATGTTGATGTAGTGAACGTAGTGGGTATCATGGGGATAGCCATGACAGTCGCTTCCAGACATCTCTGGCAGGACCGTATGAATTTTCATGGGAAACCACGGATCCAAAACTTGGAACGGCGAATCTTGCTGAGTATCCCAGTCTGTGAGTTCTCAGTTCTACACATCTTGCATATGTTCATCAAAATGTTGTTCTGGTGGTTGACCTACCTGAAAAATATGACTTCGTCACTTGGGATGATGAAATTCCCAACTGAATGGACAGTCATAAAATTCCATGGCTCCAAACCACCAAGCAATGTTTCAATTTGAACCACTCCCCGCATCCCAAGATGGGATCGTCATCCGGAAAATCTTGGACTGGTTCCCCCCAAACGGGACAGGTCCCATTAAAGGTCCCATCAAAAAGTGACATCACAACAGGGAACACATTATCCATTTGAAATGCTGTCTGGTACACAAACATGGCAATGGGAAATGATCAGTTTGAATAGGAAAATCCATGATCAATTGTCATATTTCCTGCAACTAGGTTGGGCTACTAGAGGATAAAATCACTTAAAACCACATCCAACCGTCGGTTGAATCCAAAATGTTGGTCAACTCTGATCCCTATTGTTGACGATTACATCCCAATTTCTTAGGTCAAAGTCCCCTTCACCTTCTTCATGATTACCCCACTGATGCTCAAACCTTCAGAAAACACCGTCAAATCTCTTTGGAACCCCCAGTCAATCTGCATCAATTCCCCTTAAATTCCCATCTGTCTGTCCCGCTGCCGCCTCCCTCCATACGGAGACTGCGACAGCAGAGATCAGCCTCTGAAACGTGTTTTTTTATCGGATTTCACCACCACATATATTGTCAATAGATTGGTGAAAGGGAACATCTATATTTCAAGGGTTTCCCGTATGTTCTAATCTAATCTATCTATCTATCGAATCTAATCTAATCTAATCTATCTATCCATCTATCTATCTATAATCTATCTCGTCTTATCTATCCATGTATCTATGTATGTATCTATGTATTTATGTATTTTCGTATTTGTCTATATATATGCAATTAAAAACACTTACATGGACCTTTAGAATGACCCCCATACATTTCCCTATGAAGATGGATTGATTTCGCATCCTCCAATCACTGTGACATTTTTTCGTTCATTATGACCATTATGCCAGGCCGGAGAGGCGCGCCTCACGCATCAGCTCATGCTTCTGGCTAATCTTAACCCAGAATTCATTTGGATAAATAACCCCTCCATCTATTAATAGGGAGGCTACTAATTTTGATTGTAATTCATCATTCTTTTGGTAGCCTCTGGTAAACTAACATAGCGAACTGGAAAATCACCATGCTATTAATGGGAAAATCCACTATAAATGGGCCATTTTCAATAGCTATTTTGACATAACCAGAGGGTAACTCCAAAAACTAAATCAGGTTTGAGTCCGGGGACCATTTTCGAAGCACCTTGGCGAGACCAACAGAGGATTGGCATCCAGAAATCCAATAGATTCGACTGGCCCCTTGATTGTGCAAGCCCATGTTAGCATCGTATTCTTGGATAAATATCCAGCGATTTTCCATGATATCCCATGATGTCACAATATCATAGGTGTTTCAATTTCATCAGAGCACCAAGACTATTCAACCACTCCATGCCATGTAACGCTGCGCAGCGCATTCTCTGTACCTGCGCAAGTAACATGGCGATCTTTCACCAGCAAACAGCTGGGCATTGTTGGAAACTGGGTTGAAGAAAAACATGCAACACGAATAGTTACCAACAGTTGGATAACTTAGGAAAACCAGGAAAACAGTTACCAAAAGATCCTTAGCAAAAATAGTGCCACAAATTTAGTAACGAGGGATAGCTGGTTGATGCAAATTTCGAGGATCTGGCGGGATCATTTGAGGTGGGGAATGTGATAAACCTATCACGACTGGGCGACTGGGGATGGTGAACAAACCATCTATGACTTGGGGATGGTTTAGATCAATTTTTACGCAGCTGTTTTGTAGCTGTGTCCCACAAGACTCCAGCGCAAAGTCCAGCGGTCGCCTCTTATCCACCCATGGCGCGACTTTCAGAGCAGGGCTCTTGCTCCTGGGACGGTCCGACGGTCCCATTCTCCATGAATCCATGGGATGGATGGAACTTCAATTTGAATATCTTACTAAATGCACTGAATATCCATGTTTTTCATCAGCTATGAAGGAAAATACTCTTCTCTATGACTGGTGATGTAAAAAAGTGAGACAGTTCATTCTCCTGGGTGATATATCAATCATGGCAGAAAAACTCGCCCTCTTTGAGATCAAATTTGGGGATTGCCTCTGAGGACTCCCAAGTACAAGAGCCAGAACTCAACAAGTGAAGTCCCAAATATGGTTCTGCTGCGCAGACATCTTTTAGGGTTTTATTTGAAGACAATTTCACAAATTAGGCAAGATCATTTCCTCCTGAATGCCACCCATCTTTTCTGACCCCAATTTTTTCTCACCATATCGTCCTATCTTACGTGGATTCCTGAATCTAATACTTTGACAACTACAACTAGAAGAGTGTGATTGTGAAGATATTCGCGAGATCAGAACTTTTTCAGGACATGTGGTAAACCCAATGCCATAAACCATCCCCAAGTCATCACCATTGTGATGGGTGGTATGTTAACCATCCAGTCGTGGTAGGTTTATTATGGCATTTTGTTGCCCACGTTAATTCGAATCCCAATCTTAGAGTTATTATCTGAGAATCTTACAATGATTATCCTAAAATCTGACGATCACTGTAAGAAAAACAGCCAACCAGCCAACAGATAATCTTCACTATAGTGATTAGATTTAGGATAATCACTATCCTGGTAATCACTGATAATCTTATTCGGTGATCTAATCAGCCAGGATCAACTGGGTTATGAGTGAAACTCCGGTATTTTCTAAAACTAAATAATTAAATCATCAAAATCATCAACCAGCTATTATAATCATAAATACTCTAACTGGGTATATCATCAATTTATATATATATATATTATATCTCTATATAATCAACAAGACTGCAGGTATATCAGGCAAAATCACTTCGATTTTGTGGGTGGCAAACCAGCCAAAAGAGGGATCGTTTTGGATCCACCATGGCCGATACGACTGGGATGATGAAAAATAAACGCCTTAGTCGTAGCAATTGATGTATTGTTCATGAACTATAATTGATGTAAATATGAATTCATAGCCATACTGTACATACTATGAATATTGGTGGGTATAGATGATATAGATGGGTATATGGTATAGCCATACTATGATTGAGACTTGTTGATGGATTCCCCGCATTCTGGACATCCAAGTGCTGTCCTGCTCCTTGGCTTCAAGTTCCTGGCATTCCCCACCATTTTAAGCATTGAACATGCTGATATAATGGGTCTTTCTGTCTACATGTATATATAATATAATATAATATAGTATAATAAAAAATAATATAACATAATATGGTATAACATAATACAATATAATACAATATAATACAATATAATACAATATAATACAATACAATATAATATAATATAGTAAAACATAATACAATATAATATAATATAACATAATATCATATAATATAATATAATACAATAAATACAATACAATATAATATAATATAATATAACATAATCTAATATAATATAATATAATACAATAAATACAATACAATACAATATAATATAATATAATAAAATATAATAAAATATAATATAACATAAAACAATATAATATAATATAATACAATAAATACAATACAATACAATATAATATAATATAACATAATCTAATATAATATAATATAACATTATCTAATATAATATAATATAATACAATAAATACAATACAATATAATACAATAAATACAATACAATACAATATAATATAATATAATACAATATAATATAACATAATATAATACAATATAATATAACATAACATAATCTAATATAATATAATACAATATAATATAACATAATATAATACAATATAATATAACATAACATAATCTAATATAATATAATACAATATAATATAACATAACATAACATAATATAATATAATTTAACATAATCTAATATAATATAATATATTATAATATAATTATGTAGCTTTATATTTGGTGGTTTCAAACCCACTGAACATATAAATATAAATAACTATATATATATATATGAAAGTCAGGATTATCATCCCAGGTAGGGTTGACACCAACCATCCCCAAGAGCTGGGAGCACCGCTCAGCTACTATGGAAAATCACAATTTTTTTAATGGGAAAATCAACTATTTCTATGGCCATTTTCAATAGCGAAGTGTTAAATAACCAGAGGGTAGATGTTTTAATATTGATCAAAAGTTGGAGAAAGTTGGAATTTTCCAATCCGTGAATGGCAAGCAGTGAAGCCTCCAATCAATATCCGAGGATTGACCATCAGGAACAGTTGTACCCCGCAAAACTGGAACGTTGCTATGTCGGAGAATCCATGGCTTTTAGAAACTCTCTAACCACTCAGAGTATGTTCCGAATCATGTATGGCCAAAGAAACCACTCAAATTAGATGTAACCTGCCCAAATTTGCCACAACAAGAAAGGTATGTCCCTCCATTATGTTTCTTTTTTTTCAACTGAGAAAACTACCTGGCCATGAAACCACCCCGACCTCGAGACCCGCCGGAGATTCGCTCATGCGACGTTCAAACTTCTGAACCCGAATGATGGTGCCTGGCACCATCCCCGGGACTGCGATTTATGAATGGCGTGTTTCCCGGTGAAAATCTACGGATGATCTTTCAAGGGGTCCAGCATCAGAAAACACGTGAGGATATGGCTCAAACATCATTTTCAAATTCTGATGTAGTACTGGTTGGTTGATAGGGATTCCCCTGATGGTGATCATCCCCAAATATACTGCTAATAGTATCATCAAGCTCATCAAGCACTCATCATTCATCAGTTATATTCACTTACATCCCCATATTTTGATGGGTTCAAACCATTAAAAACGCCCCTATAATCATGAAATGATGGTATATTAAATGATTGAGGATATAGATGATCCATATTTGAATAATCATTCCCTATATGTATATATATATAAATACATGTATATATATACATATTTAAATGATATAGCATCTATATACACTAATGGGAATGATCCATATTTCAATGTTTTGTTCACTCATATCCTATGAAAAATGATGGTGAACTCATGCACCTGAGACTTGCTGTTCGGGTCCCTCAGCAAGAATCTTCAAGGCTTCTTCCCCTTTGCTCCTGGGAGTCCAATGGATCCAATGGATGGTGAGATTTGGCGCAACGGTCCACTGATCAAAAACTGCAAAAACGCCAAGGTTCATCACCACAAAGCCAAGACCAGACCTGGCACGGTGAAGCTGCAACCCGCGATCGAAAGATGCCGGAAACCCATAGGGCAGGAAAACCCCTTTGATTCCAGTGAAATCTTCAGATTCTTCACGTTGCAAAGGAAAGGGCTTGGTCAAATCCATGATGTTTTGCATTTTTGCACCATTCGAGCTACCACAAGCGTTGCGCTTGCCGGAAATTGGATTTTCACAGGTCTCCCGGCGGTCGCAGGCGGGAAACGATACCCGCTTGACCACCACCTGACCTGGCCAAGAGACGCCCTCTGCCAAAAAAAACCAAGTGAAACGAAGTGAAACCAATGCTGCTTGGTGGATTTTTCCATGTTCTGTGATTGAGCCCTGAAAATGTGTGAAAGTTTCTTGGGATCATCAGATTGGGCCAACACACTGTTTGAAACCACCAGCCAGAATAGATGTGAGCCAACGATATGAGAATGTCACAAAATATGGGATTTGATGGGTGCAACAATGGGGGCTGCACCAGCTAAAATTTGGAACCCAAGCTGAATGACTCTGCTAAAACCAGGAGTTCTAGGCTGGCAAAGTGGGCATGCCAGGTTATTCCACAATTTTTGGTAGTTAAGCAACCATTCATAGGGGCTAAAATTGGCAAAACGTAAGGATATAGAACCCATAACAAAACAGCTAATCTGTTGCTGGTAAAACCCCCCCTCAAATGGTGGCAGTCATTAGAATATCATGGGGATATAAACTTAAGACCACGAGGGCTGGAGTTTTTCACACATTTCTGACTCTTTAGGAATGGCATGGAATGGCCCTCCCCCAAAATCAACGAGGAATTATTAGTCCAGGGGTGACACTACAAAGTAAATATTGCCCTCATATCCTGTCATGAATGTGCTATCACTGGGATGTATTTGTCAAATAATTTGTACTCAATCAATACTCGATGGTACATTCCTGATACACAAAAATTCAACGGATCATCCTGCTCTCCGAATCTTAGAAGACCTGTTGGCCATGGTTATCGGCTATGCCAACTATGCTTTGCTGCTGAATAATTGCCGACCAGGGACATCTCCCCATGACGAATCAGTGGCATGAGAAGCCCCGAGCCATGAAAGAAATTCCCCAATCCCATCCCATTATTGTTGGATGGTTAGTACATATTCCTTTTGCGAGTTGTAATAACCCCGTATCTTCACCCATCAACACCCATCTGAGTTCCCCCAACTTCACTCGAGAATGAGCCACCAGCACATTCTCCACAGTTCCATACCTGTACATCATTTCAGGAGCCCAGTGGAACATGATGTCTATCTATTCGCATGAAAATGAACTTAAACGAATGCGCGCGTATGGATGTGGTGTGTAGATAGATAGAAAGATAAGTCTAGTAGGTAGGTAGATGTTATAATTATTATCAACCATCATTAACCATTCATAACCGTTATTGACCATTAATAACAATTAATAACCACTATTAATCTGATAGCAGTACGAGTCCAAGAGTCAACCGACGGTCTAATAGGCATTGATCCACGCCCTAACAGTGAAACCCCGAAAAAAAGGACCCACAACAAGTCATAGTCTCATTCTGGTTGGTGATATCCCCAATTATTTGCAAGAACCACCCAAACTTTTCCATGATTCAATGACCAATTAAAATCTCACATCATCTTTTTTAAAAACATATTCCATCATATTCCCATCCCTGGAAATCTAAACATGGCACACGAGATTTCGCCCAAGGATTTCCCATTGGATTTACCAATTTACCGGCCATTCCGCTCCGCTCCGCAGGTGCACCATGAGAAGTGCTCCCTGAGAATTTGAGGTGATGCGAAACCCAAGCCTTGGGAGATGGCCATCGATGGTGAAATATGGTGAAATCCACACTGGTGATGAAACTGATCTCAATTAGAATGTCAAATGGGTATGGATCAATACCTATTAATACCATTTTTAGGGGGATGAACATCCATTTACCAGCTATTTTGATGTTCACCAGGGGTACAAGGTTTTGACACACTGTCAAATATCACAAGTATCCGTATGTTGGGATTGACTGGATTTACGACATCTCACATTTTGGTGTATATTCCAAATGCCCACATTTGTGGGTTTGTTGGCACAACAAAGCCAAGGGATAGAACACAGAGATATTTGGAGCCACCTGCTGTAGTTACCCTCTGCTAACCAAACACGGTAGCAAATCTCCGTTTCCAATGCAGAAACAATTTCCAGATATATCTCTATGTGTGTATATATATACACGTATATATATATATATCTTATATATATATAAATACATATAGAGAGAGAGAGAGAAATGTGGGAATTCTCAGCTGCCGGCTTATAAAGTAATACGCAATAAAGATCAATAAAGTAAATCATCACGATATCCAGAAAGCCTTGCGGACTATATCGACACTTTGGCGTAAATGGCTCATCTGTGGCTGAACATTCCTGCCATTTCCTGGCTTAAGCCTGACATTTTTTTCTAGTGATTGAGGATAATCATCCCAATTGTTGCGGAAAAACAGCATACTTGCCTTGACTATCCTTGACTTGCCTATCAAATATATCCTCTATCAACTCACGAATTAGTGCTAAAACACTCAGTTTGACTCCCTTCTTTTTGCCACTTAACAACCCTCCACTTCTTCTACTTCTTTTATTTGGAGGTTTCCCAAAATGTGATCCCCGAAGCATCCGAACACCACTTCAGTCTTGAAACCTATGGTGACGACTGGGATCCCCCATTCGAACCCCTCGTCACCATGGCTCCGCCAAGCGGCGATTGATCTTTCGAACAATCAACACACGGCTGGAATCCACCTGCCACGGGGGCAGATCATCGATGCGGAGTTAGGGACGAAGACTGTGATATAGATGTATTTATATATGTATTCACATATGTATTCATATGTGTATGTATATATACACACATGATAGGTAATTATATATGTATATTTTGTAAATATTTGATATTGCACACACAATATATATATATATATGTATATACATAAACATGGCATATACCCCCTTCTGTAGATGATTCTTCATGGAGTGGGAAGGCCATCTCACCGGGATCAGCATGGCCACTATCCGAAGGTGGAAATTACATGAAATTACAACAATTAAGTGAAAATCTATCCGATTACACAAGAATGTCATCATGGATATATACATATATACACATATGTATATGTATATGTATATGTATATATTAATGGTGGGTAATTACAATGATGTATAGGGACACAAGCTAAGTGATGTGATCTCAGTGCAACTGGTGACCACCGGAGCTTCACCGGCCTGCAACAATGATCGCAGATGCATTCCTCGATGGAGGATGGATGGTAATCTGCAGATTCCACCAGTTCAGATATTAAAGGTATAACTCTTCCCCAAGATATCAATATGATTATGTGCATATGATTATTCCCCAATATATTCAATATATGAACAGGGGGAATAATATATCAATTCAGATATGACAGATATGATTATGTGCATATGATTATATGAATTACATGTGTATATATACATATTGATGTAAAACCTCCAATCATCATCAAGCATCATGGATCAGTCATATCCCCATATTGTTGCTGCTCAATCTTCTATAGAGCAGACCCCAAAACGATAGAAAAACAAATCATAATGTTTTAGTGTGATTTCACTTTTCTATCTTCTTAGGGGTGACTATAAATGATGGTTAATTTCACAGAAACCTCCAAAAACGATCTGGGCAAATCTTAACAAGCTGAAATAAGGCTATGACTACAATGGAATAATGGCATAATTTGTGTGAGGTCGCAGTCTGCGGTCGTCTAGTTGTCTTTTTTGAAACCGCTCAACTGCTAAGGCGGCCAGCTGCTGTGGTTTCACCCCAAATCCCGTTTAGTTCACCAGCTGGTTATCTGGTTATGGATGTACATCCTGCCAAATCTAACAGAGGTTTTGATCATTGATCCATCTAATACAGGTTTTCTTGGACAATGACCCAAGTCTAAAGTGACTTTCTGGTGATTTTGTCGCTCTTAGGACCTCTATCTAGTTCTAGTTGGCTGAATCTCCCAATTCTTGCACACCATATTGCCAGTCTAAGTCCACCAAGCCCATTCAACTCTGGAGAACTTCTCTCAAACCTGATTGGCCAATGGTCAACTTACCCTCTGGTAAACTAACATAACTATGGAAAATCACAATTTTTCATGGGAAAATCCACTATAAATGGCAATTTTCAATAGCTTTTTGTATGTTTACTAGAGGGTATGCTTTCTCCTAGCAGAATTTCGCCCAAAAACACCGTGGGTGACCTCGGCAAAAACTTCCGTGGCATCTTGCGGACCGAGGTGCGCAGCGTGTCTCCCGAATGGCTGTCGGCTGCCCCTGGAGGCAATGAAGAACTTGGATGCATTGGAATCACCCAGACTAGAAATATATATATATAGCTATTCCTTATAGTTATAGTTATCTCCATTGTAGTTATTGCTCATTTTGTGACCCATTCTCCCCACAAACGATACACCATACATGCTGTATCCCTTCCTACTTAAGGGTGCAGTTCCACTAAGTCACTAAGTGCGTGGTACCATAATTTTGGGCTTAGAGCAGTCATATCCCAAGTTCTGCTGGCCCTACTATCTTGGTTCTACCCATTAATAGGCCCAACTATGAATATCCCATTAGGAGGAGGGGATTCTCAGATATGATTGCTTCAAACCCATAAAATTGACAGATTAAAAAAACTGAAGGAATTTTCTTCCATTTTCATCCATATATTTGTTCATTAACCAACCACCCAAAAACATGGCTTCCGCGCCTATGGGGGCCTCCGGGTTGCGCTTCTTTGGTCCTCCTCCTGACAAACGTTCCAGAGGCAAAAGCCGATCTGCGATGGCCAAAGGAATTTCCAAAGCCATATTTCTATCTGGTTGGTGGTTTTAACCATCTTGAAAAATATTAGTCAATGGGAAGGATGACATCCCATATATGAAATTGAAAATAAAAGCCATGTTTGAAACCACCAACCAGATATGGTTTTTATCATGGGTCCATATACACCGAATAGTTTTGTAGTTTTATATGGTGTTATCATGGTCCATATGGATTCTGTATACTGTATGGAAGTGCCATATGGCCAAAAGTCTGAAAAAACGTGGTGAAAACATGGAAGATCTCTGGATTCACAACCATCAATGGTGGTACCACTTAAAATGAGAGTCAACACGGTACTCCCCCCAATTTTAAACAACCCAGCGGTGAATGAAAATCTGCTGTTTATATATATATATACATAATACCAAATTTCGGTTCAATCATGTTTTTTTTGCGTGAATTTTCCACATCTTTTGGGCTGTTCCCGGCTCAACTTCCAAAACCCTCCGCGCCTTTGCGCACAGCAGCATTCACCCCGTTGACACCGTTGACGTTCGCGCCAGGGGACGACACCGCCGACCGCTCACCTGGATAGAATGGTGTGGATTAAACCATGGCCTGTTTCCATTAAATCCATTTAAAAAATGGTTAGTTGTTGTTGGTCGTATCCATATCCAAACTTGAATGTTGGATATATTCTGCAAACCAAATGATCTGGAACAGATTAGTGTGATGTGGGAAACCCAATAAACCATCCCCATCACCATTTTCGTGGTCAAATTTCAACCATCCCCAGTCATGGTAGTTGTTCATTGGCATTCCCTGTCATTTAAGGTAGATCTCAGGTTGACCCATCGGTGACGCAATGGCGATATTGACCAACAATGACCAGGACAAACATGTTCATCCCATTTTCAGAAAACAAATCCCATATTTTAGCAATTCTGCAGTCTGCGCTGAGCATTCTAAGGTGTGTTTCTAATTGGGCCAATGGTGGGATCAGGTCATCGATGCCAGGGCTATCGATTTCATCATGGCACGGGTGTCTGAAAATGGTACCCCCAAAAAGGGACCATTGATGAAATCCCCCATTCCGTGAACTCGGTGAAATCCTCGATGGAGTTTTGATGCTTAAAATCACCAGAGTCTGGTGACATTAATTTTCTTCGGTGTCAATTCATTGTCTTGTTTAATCCAAGTATTTGATGCTTACATCACAATTCTTGTTGGTAAAAGTTTTAAATGCACCATTTATGATGGTAAAATCATTTATTTTGTTCCCGGACGCCAGTGCACCTGGCCACCACATAGGAGCTGGACCTAAAGCGAGGCTCAAAAGAAGTTACTGAAAGAAGTTGGGTAGATAGAAATCTAACTAGGATATTATAAGTGTGTATATATGTATATATTAGTGTATATATATATATCACTTGATAGTTATAGATAAAACAACTAAACCATAGGGACTCTTGGAGGAGTATTTGGAAGTATAGGGTACTTGGGAGTATATTGACCATGGTTAACAAACCCACATTAGTAATGATTTTATTGGACTACCATAGGATATGTACATATACATATACCCCCAGGCCGGGGGTGCCGCCCAGAGGTTTATCATGTGACCAACTCTTTAGGGTTTGTTTAGGGTTTGTTTTGGGTTTCATTTAGGGTTTCATTATGGTTTTTAGTTGTTTTTCCTTTTTTTTTTAAACCAACATTTTACTTTCAAGGCTTACTTTCAAGGCTTACTTAGGGTCTCATATCAGATTTAGGTTTTAGGGTTTAGGATTTAGGGTTCTACGTTTTGGAAACAAATCTCGTCAGCAATTTTGGCAATCTGCCGACGTGCTAAAATGCATAAAGACACTGGCTCTGCGCAGTCAAAACACACTTCCCCGGGTAGCACCCCCGTCCTGGCTGTATATATATATATATGCTACAAGTAAATATTTATCAGTGGGTATTTCTAGATATAAAATCTAGCTTGGGTATGCACATATACTATATGTATACATAAATGCAATGGGACATTTATCAACCTGAGACATATCAAATATAATATATATATACATACATACATATTTTATGTGTATACATGTATATATATATATATATTATGTGTATACATGTATGTATATATATATGCTTCCATATATATATATATATGTTTCCATATATATATAGAGAGAGAGAAAGATAGTCATTTAATGTGAATATACCAGGTTATATTTAACCAACCACATGATATGGTCTGGATAAACTATACTAACTCAACAACCTAAAACAAAATTGTTTACGGATGATTGCCCTTGCTAAGCGTCAGTATCTATATTTAATCATTGGATCATTTAATCAATTACAGTCATTTAAATCTAAAACAGTTTGTACTGGTTGGTTAGTTCATGATATGTCCTATTATGTCATGGCTAGCTCCCATCTTTAGTTGACATATGTGCCATGGTCAAAACATTGTGTGGGCTATGGTCATCCCGCCATTAGTGGACATCCAAACATACTTGGTATATCAACCCCTATTCATGGTGACCATGCCCCAGTTGGGAGTAGATATGGGTACATGATCCAGCATTTGATTGTAGTTGCTGGCATATTCCGCGATATCCCCATTGACATACCATGGAAAATCACCACTTTCCATGGTCCATCTGAAAGTCTAACGAATTTGACTATTGGACATCAAGAGTTACATCTGAAAGTCTGAAACAATCAGACTTTACTTGTTGCTCAATTGATTGCATATCCCATGAATGGTTACTTCTCATTTTTGGAATGAACATGCGCATGCACAAACATGGGGATATCACGGCAACAGGCCACCATTTCTGTTTTCTATCACCAACTTCACCCCAAAAGGTTGTAAAACTGCATTAACTCCCATACAATTTTACCACAATTGATATACCCATTATATAATATCCAATTGCAGTTGGTAGTATACCCCGATTAAAAAGTATATACCACTGGTGCTGAGATTTTTCACCATTGTATCCCAGTGAGATCCATCATCCATTCCCGATGACCATTGAAATCACAATTCCTGGCACATGTCTCAAAGTGTTCTTATCTATACCACATAGAATGATATTAAATACCATTACATAGCCATTATATACCAATATACTTACGTATCTTGTCATCTTGTTGGTTAATGTCCCTATCATGTCTTCTATTTGTTGGTTAAACAATATTGAATCATACTAAATCTCATGAATATATACATATGGAGGTTTCGTAAAGTGGTATCATCAAAGTCACTACACCATTTGCGTATTGACACCGTGATGGTTTTGGGGATTCCCCATTTTAGGAAACACCCATATTGTATTAATGTAGTGTAGTAAACCCAATAAAAAGAAACATCCAAATTTCACCATAACCCTCCAAAATTGGAGGTTTATTGGGTTGATAACATTACCCAGATTTGGTGCTTAATGGACGGTTTACATCAACATATATATATATACGTATATACACCACAAATCAATGAATACTAACCCCATTATTGGTGTACACATGGATATTTCATGATATATCTATGGGTTAGTAAGAATATCCAATCAATCCATCAATCTTAATATATACCATGATACTAATACTAAGCCATATTAATCCATGGGGTGTATGTAAGTGTATGTATATATATATATATATTCTATATATATATTATTATATCATAATATATATATTATCTCGTTATCTCTCTCTCTCTCTATATATATATATATTAAGTATGGATACTAATATTATAGATACTACTCCATCATTTCATCTTAATCTCCCCATTGATTCATCTCCCCAGGACGTATGGCAGAACTGCCAGAGGCACCCGGACCTGGAGCTGCATAGGGAGCTGCCGGTGGAGGTGCCTTGAAAACACGAGAAGTAAACTGAGTCATGGCGCTTTTGTTTCCAGAAAAATGCAGCTTTAACCAGGAATATCCATGAAATTTGATGAACTTTGATGATATTTCACATGCTTTGACTCAATTTGACCATCTAAGCTTGGGATATTTTACATGATTAAAGCATGAAACATTGAAGATTCCCCCAACAAGCATTGACATTTCAGCATCGCAAAGGTTCACATGTATGTGGATTTCAAAAACTGAACCAAGCAAGCAATGATGGTATTCTTAACGCAATTTCACTATGAAATATGGGGATTTACCTATATTATTAGAGAAATATTGGGACTTCAGCCACATAAATCGGTCAGAATCCGCAATTCGGACGTAGCAAACATCAGGATTTACACCCCAAAAACCAGGGTTTTTCACCATGAACCAACAAAAACCAGGATTCTTCGCCGCTTTCATGGCCATTTTGGGGTAGCCCAACCGGATTTGCTGCTGATGAGCCCCGCACCATGGGAGTCATGGGAGACATCTGCGGCATTCCGTAGGGCCATGGAGAAACCATTGGAGATCCTGGCGTGAGGAGTCTGAGATCGGGAGGACCGTGATTTGTTTCTTTGGCGTTTTCAACACACCATCCAAATTTTATCCAAAAATGGACCCAGAACAAATGGAACGCAACGGTAGGATCATCTTCGACATGACACAGCAATGGACGGTCAGGTTGTTGTCAAGTCGCTATCAAGTGTGCCCAGAACAATGCTGTGAATCAATGGTTCGTTTTCTTTTTCTTCAGACCATATTTCAAGGTCTTTTACCGTCTTTTACATTAGAACATCACATAACTCATTGCAAATCTTACAGGAAACAACATTTTTTACGTCTCAAAAACATGAAATCTATTTCTTCCCCTTTAAACCTCCATCGATGGATTTTCCCAAGAAATTTCCTGCCCCAAGTTGCTGCAATTGGCCCAAGGCCATTGCCAGTTGCACCTCGTTGCGCTACCAATGGGTTGACCAGGATGACTGTATATATGTACATATGTAGGTATGCTGCCTCTGTCATGTATGCAGAAAAACACACATATTTGTGCACATATACATGAAATGATATATTTGTGCACATATACATGAAATGATATACAAGTATTTGTATATAAATATATGCATGCATGTATACATACATATATACATGTATACATGTAAATATTTGTGTATATATATAAATGTACATATTGATATATGCATATGCATATATATATATACACATACACAAATATTTACATGTATACATGTATACATGTAAATATTTGTGTGTATATATATATGTACATATTGCTATATGGCATATGTGTATATAAATATATGCATGCATGTATACATACACATATATATATACATGTATATATGTATACATGTATGTATGTATACATGTATGTATGTATGTCATGTCATGTCATGTCATGTACTGTACTGTACTGTAATGTATGGTACGGTACGTATGGTATGCATGCATGTATGTATGTATGTATGTATGTATATGTGGGTAGGTGCATCACTCATTCTTGTCAAACTGGATTTAGTAACAAAAAAAATGGTGTTCAAAAAACGGGGTTCATCATTACAAACAGGGCGTATGCGGCATTGACCTTGAGTTTGTTGGTTTTAATCACTATTATTGATGCTCAACGCTCGATGTTCTCACTTCAACTGGCGAGTTTGGGCCCCCCGGACAAACCCAAGGCATATGGTTGCTTATCTATCCCACAAATCCCACTATAAATCTCCGTGTATCCCTGTTATATTCCCACTATGGTCGGTTTCATACCCCTCATATGAGTTCCATTATATCGTGTGAACTATACCAATTATGGTCAGGTTTAAGCCCTGGATTCTTGCGCTGAGCGACCGTTCGGCTATCAAGACCTGGCAGGGAAAGAAATCATGGAGGATTTATATGTGGTGTTGAAATCTGAATTCATGGACATTTATGTGCATATCAAAGCACCTATATACATGTATATATATAGATATATGTATACATACATACATGTTTACCTGTGTATTAGTGTATATATAGATATAGATATATATTGTATGTATATATTACAATTTATACATACATGATTGAACATGTACATGCAGGAACTGTAATCATTCACCATTCACCACGGTTTTGGTTTTCCTGGTTCAACGGTCGGCTGGAAAGTCCACCAAAAATCGTTGTCAGCAATGACATTCAATACGTGCTTGGCAAAATAGAAAACGTACTACACTCTTTACTGAACAACTATGTCATAATATTTGTTGTATATAATTATAATTAATTATATACTAACAGTTTTCAACCATAAATCCAAGTGCAAAACCATCTGGAAATTCATGATATTTCCTAGATTTGTTGGGCCAAAAATTGGGATGATGAACCTGGAAAGGACATCAAATGTATTGACCAAGATTAACCAATACCTTCCGGAACTTTAACACTTTGCTCGTTGAATTACTTGTAATGCGTGGTGACTTTCCATAGCTATGTTAGCTTACCAGAGAGTATGCGAAGCGTTAGGTGTGTTCGTCTCCAAATAGGCTATCCCGAAATCTGCTCAAAACTTTGCCTGTTTAAATAGCTAATAATTGGGGTTTACCTATTACCATCCCCATTTTTCAGACATTCTATCATTCATACGGATGATTCCCCATATATAGACCATCATTCCAGTGATCTCACAATAAGGTCACAAGTCACAGACATATTTCATCCACATATTTTCTTGTTGGAAAATATAGTATATTCACTAATTTACTCATCCCATTAATATTCATTATAATTCATCCATTATCATATTAACAAGCGTCAACCATAAATTATCAGTACTGACCTTGATGAACACCCAATATTGACCCATTGTTACTGGCTTTACCAAATCAACATCACATCATTCCATAAATTTTTGATGGCTAAATCCCTCTGAATCACCACAGAAAGCTGTGTTTATCCCATTAAATTCCATTAAATCCCATAAAATCGGCTAAAAATCGTTGGTGAATGACTGTGTTTATCCCATTATGAAAACCTGTTTGTTTATCCCATGAAATCCCATGGCATCCCATCCCTGGTGAATCATCCGGAGGTGCTGCACTCACCTCCCACAGAGGTCGCCACAGGCGTTGCGCCACGTGGCCCCGGCAGCTGTACTTGAGGCCGTTGCGCCTCCTGGTGTCATGGCTGGAACATGTCCAGCAAACGGCTGGTCGTTGTTTTTTGAGCTGGAAAAAATATGGAGAAATATTTTGAGAGAATATTTAAGGGGAAATCTCCATATTTTTCCAAGTAACTGGAGGCTTTTTTAGCAAAATCATTGAAGTAAATGGGTTTCTATTCATTACCAACTATTACCAGACAGCTATCAAACCAGCTATCAACATGCACAAAGCTGCACTCCGGTGTCATGAAAAATGGCTGGGAGATTTATGGATCATTTTCCCAGCTATAAATTCTTCCATAAGGAATTTCAAAATGCCATGTTATATGTTTGATGACAAGTTGTCGGGCAACTGGATATAACTGGAAGGGATGAACTTAGCTTTGGTTTCGAGGGACATGGCTTCTGGCCGGCATATATTTTACCACATGCTTTCGGTGCGGTGTTTCCTGTAATATTTCCTGGTAACCAATTCAATTATGGGATATGTCAGAATATCTCAGATATGATCACCATTCATGTTGCTTCAACGATCAAATCACTGGGGATTTGTTGCAGATCACAGATCAACGTGACGTGGATGCGTAGTATTTCGATGGTGGGAACTTCGCCAAAATCAGGGGAGATGATCTCCATGCTATCCAATGACCATCAGGACGCACGACCTTTTTTCTGCTGATGTTGGTGCATTCTCACCGAAGCAAACTCGTCTTGACCTGCGTGCATCATCGAGAGCTGCGTGCTGCATGTGCATCCGGGATGATGGTAAAGCATGGTAAAACCATTAACCCCCATACTTTGATAGTTTATACCATAGTGACATGGTGACATGGTGTCAATTTATGGTGATTTTGATTGATTTTGGGATGGATCCTGCGCCTCATAGATGCACGCCAAAGGTGATTCCAGCCTGCTCGGGTGCCAAATATCTCTCAATTTCTGGTGAAAATATGAGGTTTAACCCAACATGATGTGATTAACACATATGAAACATGGGATTTTGCCAACAAACATTGAGGTTATTTGAGGTCTAACACGGTTTAATAATTTAACCAACAAGAACTTGGGGTTAATATTGTTTAACCCTGAACACGTGGGATTTCACCATCAAACATGTAACATGGTAACCAGGTCACCATGGCAATATCTGCCTTGACCATGTCGCTGAAGTAGGCGCGTGCAGCCTGAGAACATGGTCAAATTAGGCAACACATGCGGTTGGATCCAACATGGGGATACGCCAAATTTAGTCATGCCCAATCTTTTCTTTGTATATAAATATATATAGATAGAAATATAAGTATACACATATATGTGTATATATATAAGTATACACACATATATACATATATATATATAAGTATATACACACATATATATATAAGTATACATATATATATATATATAAGTATACACTTATGTATATATTATGGCAGGTTAACAGAATACCTACACCCATCACCATGGCAACAGGTTTCGTATTCAACTAATGTTTTTTTTTCAAAAGGATCACGGGATTTGCCCCCAAATTTGGGATCGATCTTGGTTATCACATATTCATATTGCAAAAACAATCTGAACACATCAATCCTTGGGTTTTGATGGTTTTTGCATGTTTTCTATCTTGATTCCAGTGGTCTGAGAACTTTCTGGAAATTTGGGCCCACTTTCCAGGCTGCACTGAGCCCACTTATCATGGAGGGGTTTCCCTAAACAACTTCCATGAACTTAAAACCACTTAGATTTTACAATGGACTATATAATTATATAATGGATAATGACAATGGGTTACTGGTTGGTGGTTGAGCCACCCCTCTGAAAAATGATGGAGTTCATCAGTTGGGATGATTATTCCCAATATATATATATATAGAAACATAAAAATCATGTTCCAAACCGCCAACCAGTATATCTATCTATATATATATATAAATCATGACCCATTGTAAAATGGTAAGAATTTCCCTAGTCTTTGCGGAGGACATGACCGCATCTGGAGAAGCAATAAGACGAGTGACTAGGGAGAGTATGGGGTATCCCGGGTATCCCGGGTATCCCGGGTATCCCGGGTATCACTCATCAAAAGATCCTCAAATGATAGGAAGTCTATATGGAAGTCACGTATTTTTACGTATTTCTTGATCCGTTTTTGAACATCTTCCAAGTCTTCCAAGTCCCCCCAGGCCATATCCCAGGTATCCCAGGTATCCCAGGTATCCCAGCCCAAAGGTTGGCGGAGGTGGCTGCAGAGGTGATACTCAGGTCGGAGATCACTACCATGATCTCATCGCAGGATCGGAGGATTTTAGGCATATTTTTTCCATGAAAAATGGGAGAACCCCCTGGAGGCTTGGATTTTGAGCTTTGAAGCTTTGAACAAGTCATCTGATCAAAAACATGTTCGCAAGTCTTCCAGGAGCTAGGTATCACTCAAAATGGGTGAACATGACTCATTTTATGGGAGGGAATTCACTATTCTTGTACTAAGAAAAAGTGACTGTCAAAAAAAACATGGGGATTTTGCTCATTAAAAAGGCACGTTTTCGGATCTCAGGAATGTTTTCTGGCGCGGATCCATATTTTTTTGGAACCGGGAACTACATCAATAACGGTATAAAGTAATCATGATGATCCAAAATGAACATATCCAATTCAAAACAAAGGGATCTTTTGTGGCTTTTAAGGCTTTTCATGTTTAAACACTTCATTTTGGGTTGTAACGCCCATGTTACTTTGCTGATTACAAGCCATTTTGATTCGTGAATCCTCCATCCCAAATGATATTCTGGATCATCCTACCACTTTTGTCCCACGTGCCCTTTTCGTACTGTCCAGTAGTTCATATGGGGAAAAAAAACAGAAAACACCCAAGATCTGCCTGCCATGGGGGTTCCACCTAAAGTTTACCCAGTTCGCCAGGTCGCATAGCTATGGGTCAGGAAGGGTTCGATGATGGCCCGGAAGCTGTCATTCTTCACCTACCAGGAGACAAGCGTCAAACATTGGGCCTTAACATGATTTAAATAGCCCAAATTGGGATTACCATGGTTCCCAATCCAAAATTTTGATTTCAACAACATCATGTAGGGGTTTCATGGGAATTACCGAATCAAATGGTATACTAGGGAGATTTTAGCCAATCATATATATATATACATATTATGTCCTTGTTTCACCCATGAATATTGAAATTCCTGGGCTTGACCAGCGGGAATTAGCCCCAATCTATTCTGAGGAAAAGAATCGAGGCTTCAAACCATGGAGATGTGGTGTACCCCATGTTTAGGACACGTCCGACAAGTGTCTATTTCCTGCTTGATCCATGGTTCATCATCTCAGCGCTTAAGTCACACCTGTTGCCACCTCTCCACCTCCATTTTTTGCGCTAAACGCGATGCGTCGAGTGGCCACGAAGTTCCGGAAATTGGTCTTGGCTTTTTGGCAGCTGAGCTTGTACCTCGAGGTGACATCAGTTACCATTGACTTCAGACTTCAGGATGGAACTGATGGTATGCTCTTGGCAGATCAATGGACTTTCCTTATTGAATATATCATGATAGAGGTGGCTTTGTATCAAGTTGCAGTTCGGAATTCCAGAAATGATTCAATGAAAACACATGAAGACTCCTGAGAAGCCAGCTGTTTGATGATGTTGGAGAGTTTCTCAAAGCGGTACTGGTCCTGGCGACTCTGGCGACAAGTCATCCATCCCAGCAGGGCACACCGACCCTCGGCTCCGACATCCCTCCGACGATCCGACGTCGGTAAGGCACCTGCATCTCCTTGGTGTGAGCCCTGGTGATCACCAGAAAGGTATTCTTCTCGAAAATCACCACCTGTCCCAACATCCCATAGCGGCAGAAACAACGAAGGAACAACTTGCCAAAGCAGCAGACGTCTCTCTTCGAGTCTTTTATAGTCTTTTGGTCTTTTCTCTGAAATGGGTATCTTATCCCCCAAAAGATATGGATTTGGTTGAAACATAATCTTTGAAAAATACCAAAAAAAACCAATCTTTTAGTCTTTGGATACTCTGGTGAACCAATCCTTCAACCCACTTTTTCAAAAACGTGGATGGTTGAATGAAGTTGAATCCCCGCCTCGTCTGCCATCAACTGTTGACACATGAAGTTCACCTGGTCCCTGAAGAAATGGGAACTCCCCCGAACTAGCCATGGGTATCAGTTAAAACATGGTCAAATCATGGAGGGAAATGACAATTTTCCGCATTTCATTAGAAGAGGGTAACATCTACTATATTCCCATTAATATGCCCATCCAATTATTGTTGATAGATGATACCATTAATATCCACTAATATCTAATCATCTATTATTGGTGGATACTAGATTGGAATCCAATATTAACACTTCTGGTAATAATAACATCTATGATATCCCAGCTATATATTCAATCATCCTGTTAGTGGGTGGTTATATCCGCCACATGTTCAATCATGGGAGATCTCCAAGTGCCCAAGTTCAATAGGTCAATCGACAAATGGTGGACCATACGTATGACATATTTTTGACCAAGGCTATGTGCGATGACATTCTGGGATTGATTAGATCCGAAATTCAGTCATAATAACCAGAGGAATGGCAATAGTCAGAGGAACCGTGATAAACACATGAGACATACTACCACGAATAATCATGATGTAGTCATACATAGTCATAAAGTCGTATTGATCATGACATCACATTGATAGTCATATTTCATAATCGACTCATATATCGTAATGCTTCCAAGCCATAAACATTATAAAGCGCCAAACAAACAAAACAACAGCGCCAAGTGGCTGTAGAAGTTCGGGATCCGGTACCAAAACAGCAACGATCCTCGACCAGGCTTTGAAGAGCGTGTCGTCCTGACACGGATGGAACGGATCACCGGAACGGAGACTGGGGGCCCGGGGGCGGATCGATTTTGTGGCTGGGGGAGAAGTAGATGAACACGGATCTGTATATATTGTATATGTATATATGGCAGTGTGTCAAAACCTTGTACCCCTGGTGAACATCAAAATAGCTGGTAATAGCTGGTAAATGGATGTTCATCCCCCTAAAAATGGTATTAATAGGTATTGATCCATACCCATATGTAGATGTATATATGTATATAAAATATATGTGTGTATGTGTGTATATGTGTGTGTACATATGTATCACAGCAAAATGGTACTGTATGGAATTGGGAGTTGACCTTTGAATTTGTTGGGGGAATGGAGGTAAATTACATTCGATCTACGTTTTGCTCAAAACATCTGGAAAGTTCTACGGAGATCATCGTAATTTTTGGGTTCCCCTCCCCAACGTTCCCAACGTTCCCAACGTTCCCAGGGCGTCTGAGAGCCAAACCCAAATGGAAGTTCCCATGAAGGTCTTAGCGGCGGACAAGGAAACCGACAACGCTTAGATGGGTTTAATTTGGCATTCAATGCGTAGATTCATAAAACCATATTATCATTAATTAGTTATCTCATATTTGTTGGTTAAATCTCTACTTTTGCTCCTTGAGTCCTTCAGTTTCAATGCCGAGATCCAAACGATGCGCTTCTGCGTATGCTGAGGTGCCACTGTCAAGAGTTCCTATGGCGTCATTGGGATGCTCCGATCCAGCTACGGCAGGACCGATCCCTTTTTTTATTGGCCAATTTGGGCTACCTCTGGTAAACTAACATAGCTATGGAAAATCACCATTTTTAATGGGAAAATCCACTATAAATGGTCATTTTCAATAGCTATGTTAAATTACCAGAGGGTAATTATTTTCAAGAGTGCACAATAGTGCACAGTCATACATATGATATGTATGAGATGTATATGAGATGTATATGAGATGTATATGCATACTATTAATGTCTACGTCATTTGAAACCCGACCCGTTCTTTTCGGTGCTATTCCAATCTTTATTTTTAGAACCCCCCATTTGATGGTCAGTCGAAACATGCCACGATTCTGGCCAAATCAGCAGTATAAGGATTCAAGTTTGAAAGCCAATTTTGCAGTCATCTATCCATCATCTATGGTTTTCGGTCGTTACAATTTGCCCAGATCAGCATGTTTTTTTTCACCCATGGTGACCTCCATGAAAATTCATGGTAAAAAATCCCATATACTTTGCTGGTTCCATTCCGAATGAAAAACTTACATTTATGCTTAGAAAACCCATGTCTTAGTTGGCCAAAAAGCCATATTTTGTTATATGTTGATGCTTCATTCCCACATTCTGATGCTTAACCCCCCCAGTTCTCACGTTGTTGCTCCTGTAAGCCACATGAAAGATCATGAAAGGGGATTTAAAAAAATGGCTAAAGACAAGAATCACATTTTTCATAACATCATCCACTTCCCAAAAGTGGGAGCCATTTTCCGCTTGGAGCACCCCAGGATGATGATCCTCACCCGCGAACGACGCAGAAGATCCCACCTCCTTGACTTGACGGTAGACTTCCGAGCGCTTGCTCTCGTGGACCAAATCCAACCTATGGCTGTGGCTGGGTGCAGTTGGATATAACCAATTTCACGAAATTTGGTGAATAATGGCAGTTGGGATATAACCAATAAATTAACCATAATTAGCCAGTTTAATTAACAATCTTTTGGGATATAACCAATATATTAACCATTATTAGCCAATCAAAACAGGGATATATTCATCAACCTCACAGCATAGTCACTGCCGAAAACACAAGGGTCCAAAAATGACTATAACTGCGTAGTGACCAATCAGCTTCCATCAGAAGTACAATCGGTGTCTGGTGCTTTGATCTATCGTCGATCGCCTTTCCAATGGACCTCACTAGTGGCTCTCGCCAGTACAGATGTTCGTGATCGAGCAAACAAGGATGGAAAACTAGCACAAACTGGTGCCCACGGAATGAACATTGCCAAACTGGAAGACATATTTGATGTGTATTCTGACAGTGCCTGCATCCAGCTGCCCGGAGTAGAGCAAGTCCACCAGCAGCTTGCAGAAAATTGACGCATCGTTTTGTGTAAAGCTCTCTGCTTCAGCGAATTGATGCAGTTCTTTGCAGGCTGTGGCAACAAAATTGGGGCCCTCCTGCTAAGCTTTTACAATCGGAAGTAGGTCCAATTCCACGGCTTTGCGAGTTGTGCCCTCAGGTTTGCTTCGCGAGACGTATTTAAGGTTTGTCCGTCGCCAAAATCATCTCGGGTCGCATTTTTGAAAGTCAGCCACAAAGCGAAAAAATGAAGTGTATGACCCCCCCTCCATTTCTTAGGCGGATATCAACCGACACATCTATAACACACACTAACAACAAAGCAATGAGAAGGTGGATATTAACCAACAAAGAACAACCATAGGAGTATCACAAGGCATTCAAGAATTGAAGGCGTCAACTCCAAGCATCCCTGCATCCCTAGCCACCCTACCCTTAAATAAGTATCAACTTGGTGCTTCTACAGTACTTAGTACATAAATTCACTAGATTTAACTAGGTTATAAATCTATATAAATCTGCTATAACACTTGGGGGTGAGTAGGGTTCACCAGACTTCATTAACTATGAGATGGAATGGTTAACCACTAACTTATGACTAGGGATGGTTGACATCACCAGATGACCTACACTGATCGCTGAAACTCGGCCTCCGCGCTTGTGAATTAAGACGAAAGTGGTGGCATTGGGCGAATGTTGCGACAGGGACTCCTTGGTTAGCAGGGTACGGCGGTGAGCGGGGCAAGATCAGCCAGGGGGTCAAATCGACTGGCTGATCACCGCTGATCATAGAAAATCAAGACCCCAGCAGCAAAATCATGCGAAATCAATGAAATTGATGTGGTTTCACAACAAGTTCAACTGGTGAATCGAGGTGAAACCACCAGTTGACCATCGGATTTGATCCCCTATTTCCTGCGGTACCAAGCGACAATGGCAGCCTTGAAGTATTCCACATCCTCGCGCGCCCAAGAGGGACGATCGGATGGTTTTAACCACCATGGGAGACTTTTAACTCTTAGGAGGTTTTTTTCATCGGGCAAAAACCCATCAACTGATATCAAAAATATGTCATATACAAAAGTAATAAGTGAGACTTATCAATACTATCCATAAACTGATATCAGTATATAAGGGAAACTATCCATAACTATCCATAACTATTGGCAGAAAAAAAACATTGATCGATTGATCATTCCATCAACAACTTCCATCCCATCCGAAAAGGGAAGCCATCGCACCGAAGATGTCGGATTGAACATTCCACCAACACCAGTAAGCAAGAGTAATCAGCCAAGGATTTATATATTTTATATGTAGATTCAATAGATTCAATGAGCAAAATCTGATCCCAAGAAAATAAGATACCATCTGGTTGTGACTAACAGTTTGCCATGGAAAATCCACCCATTTCAAGAACGGTAAACCATCTATTTCTATGGGCCATCTATACCATGGCTATGTTAGTCATAACCAGAGGGTACAATTTTTGTAGATTCGATCAGCAAACTTTTGGGGATGGGTCACTGGTGATTTCACCAACTTGGTCGCCAATGGGTGGGCGGATCCCATTGTGTTGCCAAAATATGTGGGCAAAAGCAAGACATGAGTTGACTGTAAGGATCAAAGCATTATCTAACTATACTTATTATGGATATTGTGGGATATACGTATAATCTTATAGTTGGATATAATTTGATATATTACATCATAATATCCAGCTATACTTATATCCCACTATATGATATCTCCATGACATGGTTTGTGAAAAATCCGCACAAAGGGTCCTTCTTCCTCTCTTCGTTACCCAGGCTCTTGTCACGTGCCGCCACCAGGACGTAAATCAGCACCTGGCTTTTCTGGCCGCAGCTTGGGTACTAAGGGTGAGGGCCGATATGGCCGATAGGGGGGATATCATGGCTTCGTGTTTTGACGCTTGCTATTAGTTGGGATCCCCCATATGGTTTTTCACATCAACCAAAAATAAACAAACCACTCTGGGTAGTGGCTTCAATCAGAAAAAACTCACACCTGGAAAGCCGTGTCGAATTTGGTGTGACCACCCACATCATCCAACTCTGCCTCGCAGTGCTGGAAGATGTTCTCACGCTGAGATTCGAAATAGTTCTCCATGAACTGATCTTGGCCTCCAAAAAAATGGAGGAAACTCATGGAATTTCCAAAAAAATCCCAGCCAAAAAAATGCCATCGATGCCATGGGCACCTTCAAAAACATCACATGCTGACACCGTGCCTCCGCAGTCCCAAAGGTTCAACTTCAGATTGCCCAAGAAGCGAAGCCTCAGCGGCGTCCCAAGTCCGAGTTGATCTGGGGATCTCTCCTTTTTCCAGCGAGCTGATGTTTGGTGCCCCAGAAAACATGGAAAAACATATCAAAACCATATATTCACCCAGTGAAACCATGAAAAATTGACCTGTCACCTAGGATTTTTGGAATGAAATTTGCCGAAAATCCCAGCGGATATGGTAGGGTCAATGGTGAAGAACCGGATTCCCGGCCGGATTCCCGGTGAAGGGACCGATGAGCCACTGATGATCCAGCCACGTTGCGAATTGTGCTCCACATGGTTTGTGGGCTGCAGCATCTTGGTATCCTGTGTTGGTGATCTAAATTCAATGGTCCAGCGCAGGTATAGGTCATATTGGGATACCTGGATTAGAATTGGATCTAATTTTGGCTCTTAAACCATTCATTGTAGGGGGGGTTGATAATTTTAAGCCATAAATATAACTTACAACCTCATGACAGGAGCGGCTGTCAGAACTCACGGTTAAACCTTGGGCTTGGCTTCTCAGATCCCCAATGTCTGCAGTTTCCGCACTGGGAACATGGCAGGCTTCACAAACTTCTCAGTGTCTAAACCCAAGAAGCAACCCTCTTGTGGGGTCAAATTTTCACGAGTTGGGTCTAATGATGTCTAATGGTATAATCATTTTTTTTTGATATAAATAAATTACCCTCACAATCCCCCATTTCTATCCATTTCTGGTAAACCAACAGGCAAACACCGCTCCCGCGAGTGATAGTTCGCAAAGATGATGGACTTCATCGACGTCTTACCGGCCTTTGGGACGGGAGCGAAGCCCGCGACCGTTGATATGCGCTTCACACCTGGTATTTTTTTCACTAAATGGAGAGATTGTATGAGATTGTGAGAATTTGTGAGAATTTGTGAGAATTTGTGAGATATGCACATCTGGTTGGTGGTTTCAACCCCTCTGAAAAATATGAAAGTCAATGGGAAGGATGACATCCCATATATGAAATGGAAAATCAAACATGTTCCAGTCACCACCAACCAGAATAACATCATCAACCATTATTATCCATGATTATTATCCATGATTAACCACCAACTAGATGGGGTTAACCATCATTAACCATTAACATTGATCCAAACCACCAATCAGACATTGTGTAGCAATGCCGATTGGAAAAACCCTGCAGAAGCTCTGGTGGAATGTGGAGCACAAAGAGAGGTCGCATCGTGGTGAGGAACATGTTCTAAGCCCTGAAATGTTGAACAAACTTGAGATGATTTCGGTGAATATTCCCATTCAATATCATCAAAAAAACATATCTGATGGAAAATTCGTGTATTTTTTTTGAATATACCACATATTTTGAATATTCCATCCTATCATTTATAGTCGATTTATCCATTAAAAATGGTGATTTTCCATAGTTTTCCATATATATGCATATATATATATATATATGGCAGTGTGTCAAAACCTTGTACCCCTGGTGAACATCAAAATAGCTGGTAAATGGATGTTCATTCCCCTAAAAATGGTATTAATAGGTATTGATCCATACCCATATAATCAATATAATCTGATGCTTGAGATGATTCTGGGTGGGACCTGGTGACCTGAGGTGACCTGAGCTTCAAACGCCTGCGCGGCCCATCAACAAGACCTGACTTCGAAAGCACGCGCCCCGGTGGTTGAGCGCCGGCCGTTTCATGAAATGGAGAGACATGGGATATAGATGGGGATATATGATATATATATATATCCTATGTATATCCCATATATATATATATATCTATATAAGACTGGAAAGTTTATCTCATAATCTATGGGGATATAGAACTGGAAAGTTTATCTCATGGGATATATATATATATGAGATAAACCTTCCAGTTTTCCCCGTAATGGGATATAATCGATATAATATCCAACTGGAATATACACCTTCTGAAAGGTTCCCAGTTGGCAGATGGGTTTCGGTGTTTTTTTTCTTTGTTGAGGCACAACAATCACAATAAAATTACTCTGAGTTCATCAAATGTTGGGGCCTTCTTTCTTTTTACAGCAAATGTTGCAGAGTTAGCCTCTGGTATATTAACATAGCTATGGAAAATCACCAGCTTTCAAATTCTTTCAAAGGTAAAACATGTTCCCGCGGGCCATTTTCCATCGCGATACTAGATTACTAGAGGGTATCATATTTTTCCCAAAACACGAGCCTTCGCTGAAAGGACCCCCTGTTTCCAGCGACAGCTGCGCCTTGAATCCATTGGTGCTAGTCGCCATGGCAGCCACTGTTCAAGCGCCGGCGGCGAGGAGAATGAGAATGAATGGAGGGGATGATGAATGGTTCATGATGTTATTATGAATACGATCATTACTGCTATAGATGTGATGATGTTGTTGATTATGATGGTGATGATAGTGATGGTGATGATGATAAAGAATGGATGAGGGGTATTTCAAACATGATAACAGCAAGAAATAGTGGATGCGTGCTAGACTATGGATTTTTCATGACCTCCGATTTATTTCAGTGGTTGTTGTGGATAATGAGTAAATTAATGGACGATGAATGAATGCTGGGGGTATCCAATTGCCATCACTGCTGCTGTCGACTGAGCCACATCACCCTGAAGTACTGGGATGATTCCCTGAAGATGTGATCTATGATTTCTTACTTATAAAAACTATATATGGCAGTGTGTCAAAACCTTGTACCCCTGGTGAACATCAAAATAGCTGGTAAATGGATGTTCATCCCCCTAAAAATGGTATTAATAGGTATTGATCCATAGCCAAATAAAAATTTGAAGGGGTTGGAAGTTGGAAACTAGTGCCCGAGTGCTTTCCGAACTCCGGAGACTGCTTAGGCGTATAGGGGCTACAAGTTCGATGGCCAGAAACCATCAGCTGGGCCTTGGATCTTGACCCGCTGGGCCGCTGGATTGGAGAGGTCATGGGGGTTTCCAAAGTCATGGTACCCAATCATCCAGTCATTCATGACCATCTTTTCGTCTTTTTTTCTTCAACCTATGGTACTGTTTTTTTTCCCCCATTTTTTGGAAATTCCCAGCCATGCGAAGTCCATCATTTTCCGATGGCAAAAAAAGGGTGCGATCCGACCCATCCCAACTGAGGAACTTGTCCTTCAGCATCCTGTGGACCTTATCCAAGTTGGCCTGAGACGATTCGCGAAAGCCGGTCCTCAATGGGTCCAATTAGACATGGGAAAGCCTTATTGAAGGCTTGTCCTGGGAATCCTAACATCAGGGGCCTTGTTAAAGGTATGTCATATTTATGATAATTATCATACTGTATATCATTATATCAAATTACCCTCTGGTAATTTAACATAGCTATGGAAAATCACCATTTTTAATGGGAAAATCCACTATAAATGGCCATTTTCAATAGCTATGTTAGTTACCAGAGGGTATATCCCATTGAATCCCCATGAAAATGGACGAAAATCCTCCATTGAGCCATAAAAATCCAAGTAATTTGACCATAGCCATTGGCCCGGTGGCTCAAGATTCAGGCAACGGCAGTTCATTCTACGTTTTACGTGCATTTTTCGGATCTTTAGGTGCCCCCAACTGTTAACTCTGAGGCCCCCAATGCTGATAATGTGGTAAACCCAAGAAGAAACCTCCACTTCCATTTACTTGAGGACGGCTACTTGCCATCCATTTCTGGTTCAATGAGGATGGATGATTTTTGGGATTACCACATTAGCAATATCAACAATGAATAAAATGTTCAAAAGTTGTCAACCACCACCAACACTGAACAATGATGAAGGCTCATGGCACCTTTGTTTTATGATCATCATGTGTTGCATGAATGACAAGGATATTGTTTTCTGGATATCTAAACAAAAACCACCGCGAGTTTTTAGCAACCGCTGCGATTTGCAGACACTGACTTGCAAAACAGCCTAGAACTACGCACACGCAGATGCACTAAAAGACCTTGACGCAGCCACTCCCCTGCGATCTGCAGACACTGAGTTACAAAAACACCATAGAACTTGAAACGTCAGTTCCCCTGGAGAGAAAGAGATGAACCGAGAAAGAGATGTGAAATGACGGAGATGTCAAGAGATGGTTTCTGCCAAGCGCACCAAATCGCTTCACATTCTATTGAAACTTCCGCCCCCAGCTTGCCCGGTCACTCCTTGAAACCATTGAACCATGAGTTATCCATTAAATGGGGATTCAAACAATGCATATGTGCCACGGTCAATACATGCGTTTTATGGGGTATGGTCATCCATCCCATGCCATGGGAATCCAAAGGTAATGGGCATACCCTTTCGCGGGATAACCGTGTAACTTGACCAGGGCACATTTTAAGGTATTTCTGAACATGGACTCTATCTATCTATCTATCTGTCTATCTATCTATCTATCTATCCCTTTTTTCGGGTCATTCAACAGGGAAATTCATGATTAAACCAGGTTAACCCTCCGACGGATCCCACCTGATTCTGTGTCTGCAACAATGTGGTTAGCCTGAGAAAATGGGGAAAACGGCTGAGATGTGATTGGATGTGTATTAATTTATATGGTATCTTATAGTTTTTTGTTTTTCCCATAGATTTTGATCCATGCCCAAATGTGACAGATTCATATTCCCATTAATTTGGATGAAGAGTTATGACTTGGTTTACAATCTGGTCTGTTGATCACTTTTACGGCCTCCAACATAGAACCCGAAGATTTCTGGGTGCGATTTCTGGGTTGCATCCTACGGTAATCAACATGGCAATATGCGAAGGAACCTGCCACGAGCTTCACCCGGAGCAGTGTTGAGTGCTGATCTCAATTTCTAGGATCATATTGGGACATTGTTGGGACATTGTTAGGATTTCATGTCTGGGATTTATGTATGTATATATATGTTATATATATATATATTACACATATCTCTATATAATATATATATATACACATAATATGATTTATCGCAAGTATATCGAATATCTAGTCAATCTAGTTTCCAATATGGTCCCAGGAAACGGTGGTCAGGTGGTATGCAAGGGATCGCATGTGAAGACTGATCGATCAAGGTCCATCGGGGTGAACACTTTAACCCAGGGATGCAGATCATCTGAGCATCCCTAAATCCATAACATGGTTTGAAACACATCAATATAACATATAATTGATATGGTCATGAATTGATATGGTCAATATAACATATAATTGATATGGTTTGAAACATATCAATATCCTTATTATGGTTATGAATTGATGGTCAGACATATAACAATATGAATTGACCATAATATACCAATATCCTTTCAATAATTGGTCAAACAACAAATCAACCAATTGGTCATTGCACCATTGTCTTTTATTTTCCCAACCAGCTTTGGGTCATATATCTGGGTAAATTATCATATTTCACTAACCTGAATCTTAAGGCCATTTGGGGATGATTCCCCTGCAATCTAACTATGATTCCAGTGAGGGAGACCAGTGAGGTCGTGATGAAATTTACCCAGATTATATCAATACATCACCCACTCTTAACCACCATTAACCACTATTAACCACTATTATACTGGACTTCTCATACTGGACTTTTCAAAGTTCATCTGTTCCCAGAGCTGCCGGACCATTTCAACTTCTGCGCTTCAATCTTGGTCGCCTGTTTTTGGTAGACGTTGGGGCGGTGCTTGAGATTTGGTGGGGTCAGGGAACTTTCCGGAAAGTTGAAATATATACACTATAATATACTAGGGTCTGAACAAACATTTCACTATATTCCAATATATTCCAAGGTTGGATCGGCCATCCATTTTTTTGAGTCTTCCGTTTTGACATGACCATTTTCTATTGTGGCAATCTGGAGGCTGAAAAGGGAAGCAAAGAGTTGTGAAGGGTGCATGCACACCCATTTTTGCCAGTCCGCGAGAACAGCATCCATCCATGGAATGCAGTGGAAGTTTGGCAAAAAAATCATAACCAAAAGAATCATCTTGGCCCTGGGAGCAACATCGTGTGGAATCTCTTTGTTTTTGAGAGGTGGAACACCAAAGCGTCAAGACATCTGCCCCTGCGCCGGATTTTTTTTTTCAGCGGCCCCAGCCGATCCAGGTGCGGTTCGGGTAGGGTTTGTTGGTGATCCAAATGTTGAGGGCATACTTCGTGATGCCGTCCTGGCAGAAACTGGGGATATCACCCAGGTTGGACATGGGGATTGGGCAATACCTGACCAGCAAACCATATTCGGAATGAACATCCATTTCACCAGCGATTTTGATGAGTCAGTACAAAGTTTTGACCCATACCCATGGCATGGGTATAACTTCATTTAAGGCTATCTCGACATCCAACTGGTCCTTTGTTCAAGCACCAGGAGGTTGGCCGAAATCATCTCCAAAAACATAGAATTTCTGATCATCAACAAAGACAGTATCCTTCGGAACCAACAACATCCAACAACTATTTCCTTGTTTTTCCACGATAGTATCCATTATCATCCATAAAGATAAGTGGACCATGAACATTCGGATTCCATAATGGCATCCATTAACACTCCGTTATCATACCTATCATCCAGGGATTGTCCATAACATACATTATCCATACCTATCATCCATAATCGTTTCTGTCCATCGGACAATTATGAGGAAGTATATTGGGAAAAAGTACATTAACCAATCTCCATGATCAATCCAGGCTTCCACCACGTGTCCAATATTTTTTTGGATGCTGAAATCATTTCTTGAAATCCAAATTTCTAAGGATTCACCCAGTAACGATCCCTATGGATTCTGAAAATAGGCGACTTCCAATTCCACTGGATTAGCAACATTTTCCCTCTTAAAATGGTCATTTTCTGATATCCAAATCATGAATGGATATATATATAGGAAACATAGGGGATATCAATGGATATAATCTACATTAACATATCATATTATCATCATATATTAACCATGATATTAATATAAAGTAATGTTATATTACCATATTACCATCTGTAATCATGGCTTAAGATGCCCATGGCTTTGTAATGGCCTAGTAATATTGTAATATCCCAGTGGAGATTTAATCATAGGCCTATTACAATATTACACAATGAAAAAAATAAGCTATTTAGTACATATTGTAATATTTTCATGGCCTATTAAACAAAATTAATTATGGAAATTCTCATTGAAGCAAAGATCTAATTTTCAATCTCCATGGTTATCATCCATAATTAACAGATGCATGATAACTATCCATGATTAACCATCTTTAACCATTTGATAATAATAATAATATATAATAATAATAATCATGGATAATAATGGCTTAACCATGATAACCCCTTTGAAAATCATTAACCGTCATTAACCATTAAACCATGCCTATTGGTTAGATATCTATAGTACATTGTTAAACCATGGATATTTAACCAATACAACCATAGATATCTATCTATAAAGATAGATATTAGATAGATATCTATTCCTATTAAACATTATTATCCATGATTAATCATTATTAACCAATGGATGGAAATCTCCATAATTAATATATATATATATTTATAGATCTATATCCAAAGCCATATATATCATTAACCAATGGTTATATCTAACTTATCATGGCGATTTATCCATTAATAGATATATTAAACCATTAATAAACCATGGATATATTAACCATATTTAACCATGGATGTTAACCATAGATATATAGATATTAGATGATATTAGATGATATTAGATGATATCTATTCCTATTAAACATTATTATCCATGATTAACCATCATTAGGATAATAATGTTTAACCATCATTAGGATATCATCCATGATTACTATTATCATTAACCAGAAAAAACTAGGCTATTCCAAAGCCATATATATCATTAACCATTTGATAATAATAATAATTATGGATAATCATGGCTTAACCATAGATATATATATAGATATATATATATATATAGATATTAGATATCTATTCCAAAGCCATGGCGATTTCCATCACCGCTTTCGACGGAGCGACGAAAAAACCGGGTGCCTGTAGCACCGGCTTCGCCTGGTGACTCGTCGCCTCATGGGGACGACCCAAGACATCCACCTGGGCGGCACCCGGCACGGTGGCACGGGGCACTCGGCCCGGCACAGCTTGGTGGATGGGTGAAAAACCTATAAAAAATGGTGGTTTATCATGGTTTCTCTAAGAAAAATGGTGGTTTATCATGGTTTCTCTAAGAAAAATGGTGGTTTATCATGGTTTCTCTAAGAAAAATGGTGGTTTATCATGGTTTCTCTAAGAAAAATGGTGGTTTATCATGGTTTCTCTAAGAAAAATGGTGGTTTATCATGGTTTCTCTAAGAAAAATGGTGGTTTATCATGGTTTCTCTAAGAAAAATGGTGGTTTATCATGGTTTCTCTAAGAAAAATGGTGGTTTATCATGGTTTCTCTAAGAAAAATGGTGGTTTATCATGGTTTCTCTAAGAAAATGGTGGTTTATCATGGTTTCTCTAAGAAAAATGGTGGTTTATCATGGTTTCTCGAAGAAACATGGTGGTTTATCATGGTTTCTCTAAGAAACATGGTGGTTTATCATGGTTTCTCTAAGAAACATGGTGGTTTATCATGGTTTCTCTAAGAAACATGGTGGTTTATCATGGTTTCTCTAAGAAACATGGTGGTTTATCATGGTTTCTCTAAGAAACATGGTGGTTTATCATGGTTTCTCTAAGAAACATGGTGGTTTATCATGGTTTCTCTAAGAAACATGGTGGTTTATCATGGTTTCTCTAAGAAACATGGTGGTTTATCATGGTTTCTCTAAGAAACATGGTGGTTTATCATGGTTTCTCTAAGAAAAATGGTGGTTTTGTGATGGTTTCTGAAAGAACACCTATTAAACATGGTGGTTTTATGATGGTTGATGCCACGGAAAAGTGGATTTCACTCTTTGAAAATGGTGGGTTGAAGCATCCGAAAGGTGAATTTGGCCAGCAAAGATGGCTTTAAGCAACAAACATGCGGTTTGGTGGTTTACCTTAGCCAAGGATTCCGGCATCAGATATAGATGCTGGAAATGCAGCAACAAAGATTCGATGGGATTTCGTCCACTGAACCCTGGCTTTTCACTGCTGAAAACAGATTGCTGAGACATGCTGAGACTGAGTTCTTGGTTTGTCGGTTTCAATGTATCCACATGTTTGTTCACCATCAATTTGGTACAAATCAATCTGGGCCAGCCCAGAACATCAGTGAGGGTTGACCGGTGGTTTTTTTTGCGGAGCCCAGCAGCTGAAATATAGACGGAACATGATGGTAAGCCCCATAAACCATCGAACTTTGCGAAAAAAACAACATGGGGTAACCTAATTTTTAGGCAAAACATGCCATTGAATCATCAAAAAACCTGGGATTTGATCACGAACAAACTTGGGAACATGATTTAACCATGACAGTCATGACAGATTGGCGTTTGATGGATTTAATCAGTTGATACCCTCCCAAGGCTGAACGTTGCTTGAGTTTCCATGAATACTAGAGGTTACTATAATTTTCTAACATGGCAACCCATAAACCATCATGAAAATGGATCTAGCAATCACCAACTACAAAATTTCATGGAAAATCCCAATTTTTCTCAGATAGATCACCATTTTCCCATGGTTTTCCTATGGTTTTTGTACCCTTTGGCCCCAAGGTAGACCTCGGCCCCGTTGGATCAAGGCACGTTGGGCCAAATGGCCGCAGCACCTTCCAGCGGCCTCACCTGGATATGTTGTATATTTCATTATTCCATTGGATATATTCCATGAAATTCCACAAGCCATGAAATAGCATATTATATCCCCAATATGGTATATTTCATCGGATATTATGGAATAATTGAGGTATTATGTGTATATATATATATATTATGTGTATATATATATATATATATCCATAATTGGAATAAATATTAGGGATATGATGGAATAATATATCCAATGAGGGTATATGTGGTATATTTCCATAAACAACAATTATACAGAGGTTGCCATAGATATATAGTGTTCTAAATATCTAATGAATGGTTACCATACATTATTCCAAGATTTGGTGACTATATAATTGTAAATACAATGGTATATCTAATAGCCAATGGTATAATAATGTATAATACATATCTAATGAAGGACTGTAATATATTATAATGTATGGTATCACTATAATTCTTCTTGTATCTTATTGTCATATGTCCACACTACCCTCTGGTAGTTAAACCTGGCTTGCTGGAAGATCACACAAATTTCTTTCGATGATTTTCCCAGCGAGAAAAACCAAGGTTTCCAGGGTGCAAACCTTGGGGCCCTTGGGGATCAAGGCATCGAGATATGACATCGAGGTGCCAGGTATGCTTCAATAATGGGGTTGATCATTTGGACCCACAGTTTCTGGATACCAAATGGTCATTTTCAGAATCTGAAACCAGCCATTTTGGGTTGATCATTCGGAAATATACCCATACCGCATGGCCCATACCCATAACATGCTTGTCATAGATCCCAGCAATCGACATGGGGAGATTCACCCACCAAGTTGATATGGGAAGGACACAAACTTGAAGGCCCAGGAAATTGCAGATTCTGTTCTTTCCTATTGTTACCCTCTGGTAAACTAACATAACTATGGAAAATCACAATTTTTAACGGGAAAACTCACTATAAATGGCCATTTTCAATAGCTATGTTAAATTACCAGAGGGTAACCATCCATTTTTTGGGGATCTAATTTTCACCCATACCTAGATGGCAATTGCTAACCATACTGTATCTCCATAAAAAACCACTGGATGGTTTTGGTACATCCCAAGTATGACTTGGAGGACATCAATGTTCAAAGGATGAGACCAGTTGTGTGTTTGGTGGGATACACAGCATGGGTCTGCCCATACCCCAATATGTGGCCATATGTTAAACCATCTTAAACCATGGCTTTCTGGGGTAGCCTATATTTAGACCCAAAAAGGCGCAGCTACACCTGCTAGTCTTGCTCTGGAATGCTGATTGAAACTTGGCATATAAGGTCCACCAGGTTACCAGAAACTTGTGGGCGGCGCAGCTTAGTCTATGCTATGCCCGCTTCGGCCCACCTGGACATTGACCTGGTTGAATTCTGTCTCACCTCCGGCCCCTTGGGGTATCGTCTTCAGGTACACCAGAATCGTTGCAACCTAGGGACGATGGTCCCTTGGTAACCCAGCCGTTATGGTATCTACAACCTGCATAAAGGGTTGATGTAGAATTCAGGAGCCCTAGGTTTCTCAGTGGTTGCTGTACTTTTCACCACCCATATTTCCAGTACATGGGTTGCAGGGAGAGTTGTCTGAAGACTTGGTTCACGTGGTGCGATTGGTTCTGGCCAACTTTCCAATGCCTTTGGGGCAAATCATCTGATGATCTTATTCGTGATGAAGTTACGGTACTAAATCCATCTAAATCCACAATCCCCATGAAACCAGAGATTTTGCCGAACATCATTTCTATGGCTATAGTATGAGCCAAAATCCCTGTGATGAAACCAAAATAGCTGGTTTTTATGGATATGTGAATTCACAGAAATATACAACATGTGTTACCCTCTGGTCATCAAACAATATCAAACATGGCAATGGAAGCTCCTCTTTTTTAATAAGGTCTATACCCTCTGGTCAACTAACATAGCTATGGAAAATCACCATTTTTAATGGGAAAACTCACTATAAATGGCCATTTTCAATAGCTATTTTGACATAACCAGAGGGTATAGCTGGGAACATCATCGATTTTTACCCATGGCCCATGGGATTTTCCCATCAAATTTTCCCATGGAATCCACGATTTTTGCCAGGAGCTCGCTGTCCAAAGATCCAAATGCCGTTGAAGTTGGCGGATCTCCAGTCGAAATGCCTGGACGCCCAATGACTGGGTGGATCGGGGGTAGGAAAAACCATGGAAAAAACATCGGTGATGTCCTAAGGACTAGGACATATCCACCAAATAAGTTCAAGTTTTGATGTACTATTTTGAATCACAATTCATTTGGATCTAATTTGGATCTATGAACATTACAACCAATTTCTGGAATGTGGTTTATTGGAATTTTGTGTTCTTTTGCTTCCTGAAGAGATATTCATGAAATTGCGGCCTCCTTTGTCCAAACGACAGAGCTCTACACCTTCGTACTTTCCCAGCTTTATAAGGGATGTACCCCATTTCACACTTATTGGGCCGAACCATCATATAGTTTCAAATTTGGTAATAACCTGTACAAATATGTAAAAATATCATATCATAATGTACAACGTGTAACTAACCCATGTTAGTTTCCCCAGTAAGCCAGTATCTTTCAGCCCCTGCCGGCTGCCAAAGGCCTCTTGTACTCCTGGCCGCGGGAGTATCGAGCAATCCTTGGAGATCGTCGGATTCTGGAGCTGATCATCTTTCAAAATATTTTGTAGGTCAAGTTTCCACATGGAATAGTGGATTCTTGGGAGATATCATCAATATAAATATTTAATATTAATAGGGGATATATGAAATATAGGGGATGTGCAAATACCCCTTATGTCTCCCTGGAATCAGTCATTTGTGCCCCAGATGGCTACCATGTGAAATGTCTATGGGAATTGCACCCCCTGTGCGATGCAGCTGTCCTCTTGACAGCTAAATTGCAAAAGAAAGCTCCACCGGTAGCGGAGTCTGGCCAGGTTCACGTCAGTGCCTTATGGCCGCTCCTGCCACTTCGGTGAAAGCCCAACCTAGCCAGGTGCGACTCGATCACGTTCTTCGTCTGCACCTTCGTGACCAGGTCACTGTCGTTGAATTTTCCATTCACCTTTGTCACTTCAAGTTCACGTGCAAATACTTTGTCTTGTAGCCAGAGATAGCGAGCTTGGATATGCCTGCTCGCCCCAACTCCATGACGTTCTGACATAGCCTTTGCTGACGAACTGTCAACTCGAAGGCGAACCACGGTCTGTGGCATTTCCCAGAAGAGCAAAATGCCCCTCACAAACTCAGCCAATGTCGAAGTCCGGCACATCGCGTAGAACTCCGACTCCGATGATGACAGCGCCACAACTTTCTGGCTGGCACCCTTCACCAAGACCGTGTGAGTGCCGACCTTCACGACTGAACCCGTCGTCGATCTCCTGGTCTTGAGATCTCCTGCCCAATCACTGTCTGACCAGGCTTCAACACGCAAATCCTTCTTGTTCTGCAACTTGAAAATCCTCTTCAAGTAGGGCTGCTTGATCAAGTAGCGCACCGCCTTCTTCAAGCGAAGCCAATCCACCATCTTCGGGTTCTTCATCGAAGATGCAAGGGATCTGACCACATGACACAAGTCCGGCCGATCCACACTCATGTATGCCATCCGCATCACCATGCTGCGGAACATAGTCACCTGCTTCTGCTCCAAGGCTGGCTGCCGCTCTGAATCAATCAGCTCCGACTGCGACATCTTCTCCTCAGGAATGTCGCTGCCCTTGGTCTTGTCGTCAAAGTTAAACTCCTTCATCAGGATCTCTGCATGCCGGGCGTCTGCCTCAATCTCCAGCGCCGGCCCATCCGCTCCATCTGGGATGTACCTCACCAATCTGTTGAGGAAAAACATCTCCCCATACCCATCTCCAAGTGTGTTCTCCCACCTGGCAGTGTATCGCCGGTTGAGCACCTCGTCAAACCACTTCAGGTTCTCGGGCTCCCCAGCCACCATGAAGTCATCTCCATGAACTGCTCCAAGAAGACCACGACTGCTGATCTTGAAGATAGATGGGCATAGTCGAGAAAACTCCGCACCCTCCTGACGAAGGTAGCCCTGATAGTCATCCTGAAAGATTTTGCTTGCATCTTGAGTGCCGTACATGCTCTTGAGAAGCCTCCCTGCCATCGGCTCCGTGTCACCAGGTAGATTTTGATCTTCCTCTGGAAGCTGCAGGAACAGTTGTCGAGGCGCTGTTCCCATGAAGTGTGCACGGGAAATGTCCCATGTTGCCAATCTCCGAGTCTTGCCATCCTCGAAGTCCGTCATGAAGATGCTCATCAGCGAGTAGATCGCCTCAACTGGAGGCGTGGAAGAGAAAGTGTCGGCTCCACCCAACTGGCTCTCCAAGGGCTTGGCTTTCTTCACCTCCTTGGCCACCAGCCGGCATCTGATCTTTGGGTTGACTGTGTCGCCCTTGTTCACGTTGACCCACTTCAACTTCAGCAATGGGCCCTCCACCTCACGCATCGGTATGCGCTCATAAACCTTCTCTTTCCTCAACCAATCCAATTCCTCCTGCTTGCCCTTCTTCACAAGTTCTGGGTCTAGGATTGCCCCTAGTCGTCAGGCGAAGGTCCACTCAGCATCTCTTCCAGCACACTGATGTCTCCTCTCGCCCTCAGCTCTCTCTTGAGACCTCTCAAGACTGCCTCCACCAAGGCCACCGGATATTTCTGGGCCATCTTTGCTCTTTGGCCCCCAATGAGATGTACATGCCGATGAACTTCAACTCCTTTGAGCTTGTTCTCGCACACGCCCTCCAACTCCTCAGCGACAAACTTGCTGTTGGTCATGAAGAGCGTCTCCTTGCGCACATACTGCATCTCGCCCTTGTCATCCTCCAGTTTCATCTCAAACCGGCACATAGGCGATTGCACCACTCTGACTCCAGGCATGTTCTTCACCTCAACGACCTCCGGCTCTAACCAACTGCTAGCGCCTTTTGGATGTTCATGCACAAACACCCCTCCCTGCTCGTCCTGCTGTTTGCAGCATTTCATAGCCTTTTGAAGTCTCGCCCTCCCCAAGAGCTCTTCAGCTTCAACCTCAACTTGGTTCCTCTTGAAGTTGCTCAGCCTCCTCAATGGACTGAACGTAGAGCACGGTGGACTCGATGTGATCAGGTAAGGCTGCTCCAGCGCAATCAGGTCCAACAGCTGTTGGAAGTCTGTGCCCTTGTCCAAGTCCCAGTGCTCTGTTCCATCAGGCTTCATCTCATCCAAGTCAATGGCGCAACCCGGGCGAAGTCCAAACCTCTTCACCTCCAGGTTCACCCGTGATGGGGAGAAAACCTCAATCACATCCATGGCCGCCAGATCAGCTAGCGTCTGTGCCGCTTCCAAGCTGCCCATGATCTCGGCCAACCATTCCACTGCTGCAGACTGCGCAGGCGATGGACCATTGGCAATCTCCTCAGCCTCAGCCTCACGGAAAAGGTCGTCCACGTCCTGCACATCTTGCTCACCACCCTTCCGCTTCATTGGACTGGAAGGTGAATCATCAAAAGAGGGCTCCAGCACCGCATCGTCTTGGACGAATTCCACCGGTCTGCTCGAGCTGCTAGGTGCTCCAAGTGCAACACCTTGTTGTAGATCTTGTGAAACGGGCTGTGAAGGCACTTCCTCACGAATCGCCTCCTCAGCTTTGTCCTCGGCTTTCAGCCTCTTGTTTTCAACCTCCTTCAACTTGATCTCATTCTCGATGCCCCTCTTGATGCGGTCTCTGCATTCGTTGTTGTGGGCAATTTGTTGGAAACCCACACCACGTGCCAAGGAAGTGCACCCCGGGCATCCAATTGTTTTGCCAAACTTCTGCAAATGCTCCCTTCTCACAGGCCAGGCTTTTGCAACTCCAGGCCTCTGCTCACTGGCGCTTGGCCCACCAACGCCTTCGGCAGGTGAATCAGCGCCTGGTACTCTAACTTCATCTCCTCCAGCTTGTGCAGGTAGAACAGGTTGTGCTTGAGCTTGTCCTCCAGGTTGCAAGACCACCAGCTGCTGTTGTTGGGCCGGAAGTTGTTGTTGATCTTCAGGTTGAGCTCGTCTCACATAGGCTCGAACATCCCAAGGTGCTCCTCGAAGGTCTGCATCTAGAGGCTCCCACTGCTCGTCATCGGCAAGTCGATGAAAGCCACTGCCCACGATCACACCTTCTGATGTCATGCCCAACACGCTCCCAAACCTGTTGTGACAACCAACAAATGGAGCTGGTCTCATTCGAGCCATGTCGGTCTTCTTCCCCTTTCCAGCTGGCTTGATCAGGATCTTCTCGCCATAGAGGGGTAAAGGCTTTACCCATTTCTTCCCTGTGCGGCGTTCTTCAGGTGTTCGGCCATCAGCTCCAATTCGAAAACGATTGGCTTGCTCTGCAGCATAGCGGGGGATCCACTGAACAAGTGGATGGCCATCTTCAAGCTTGATACCCAACTTCTTTTCCAAGGTCAGGTGAATTGCTCTGATTCTCCATTTCACCTCCCGAACCGCCGCCTCAGCTTCACCATTTGCCTTGCTGTCACCTGCTGGTGATTCCTCGAAGACAGCTTTTGTGATTGTTGCTGCCTCCCTAGCCGCGTCCTTCTTCAGCTTGACCATGGTGTGCTCGCCGTCACTCTTCAAGACCATCTCTTTGTAGCCAAGAAGTTCCAAGAACCGCGTGAGCAGCTTGCGCCCCGTAGAGTCAGCACCGCCCTTCTTTTCCAAGGCTGTCGCCATCATCATGCCCGTCTTGCGATCAACTGCAACCAGATGAGGTCGGGCATTGGGATCCTCATTCATGTAGAAGAAGTCCATGGAAATCGTCGGCAGCATGTCCTTGGAGTGGTCTTTCCGGGTGTGCTTCTGCGCATAGCCCGTGGCTTGAAGGCATTGTTCACACCAGTTCCTGAACACTGCATGGCCCGAGCTCTCGTGCTCCTTTCTCTCCTCCTCTGAAGGCGTAGTTGGCGACCAACCTGGTCGAGCTGGACGAGCCTCAACTTGTTCTCCAGGATCTCCAGCATCAGGTCCAGCCTCTTCATCCAAGATCGGTTGATCTCCTCCTTCAACTGCACAAACCGGTCTATGGGATCTTGACCGACTTCTCGAACCTGCTGAAGCTGGTCTTGCCTCATCATCTGGAATGCTCCAATGAACTCCATGTCGATCTCGAGGTCCTCCATCAGGTGTTTCTGGTGATGCCACATGATCTTGAAGCTCTTCTTCTCGAATGTAGAAGTTGTACACTCCATTCTCCTCCATCACTGGGATAAGGCCCTCCTTTCCATACTTCGTCACTGCGCGAGCATAGGCCTTCCCCAGCTCATCATTGATCGGATGTGAGAGTGGTATGATCTCACCACCCCCAGGTCCAAGCCAAGTGCTGAATCCCTTCTCATGCAACTTTGCCGCACTGATAAGGATCTTGTGTACATCTGCAACCTGCCCAGTGAGCCTTCTCATCATCCCCGGAAGCATCCTTGCCATAGATGACCCCCTCGCCGTAGACATTGATCATCTCCCCACTGGCCGTCTTCAAGCGGATATCATTGGGCTCCCTCTCCGGAAACATGTTCTTGGGGAAGACAGTGATTGAAGCCCCTGAGTCCAAGTTGCACTCCAACCACGAGGATCCACTGAATTGATTGAGCTCACCGGACTCTGAGATCCATCTGTCTCAAAGGGTGTTGTCGCCTCCTCTGACTTGACCTCCACCAGCGTACATAGGTCCAGGCCACTAGCGTTCTCAGCTCTCGACTCCGGCTCAGGTTGCTCCAGTGAAGCTGCGTTGCCTCGACCACCACTTTTGCCCTTGGCCTGGTTGTTGTTGTTGCTCTGACTCTTCCCTTTTCCACCCTTCGAGTAGCACTCAGATTTCTTGTGGCCAGTCTTGCCACAGTGATGGCATTTGCCCTCAAAGCGAACCTCTTTCTTGGGGCTTTGGCTTGCAGAACGACTTCCCCCTGATGCTCCCTTTCCTCCTCCAGGCTTCGACCAACAGTCCCGTTTGCGGTGTCCAAACTTCCCGCATTGATCGCAGTGGCCGTCGAATTTGATCTTGTTCTCACCTTTCTTCTCGCCTTTGCCCTTGGTCAAAGCCGACAAGCCACTGACAGCGCGGACCAAGGAGTCGACGTCCATAGGAGTAGGCCCGCTTGAGGAAGAGGATGTAGGTTTTGCAAAGTTGCTGGAGAGCACCAGTTTCGATCCTGTCTTGGCTTCGATGTAGGTGATCACTTCGGCTTCCATCTCCTCGAAGTTCTTGAACCTTGTGTAGTTCAGCATCAAATGCTGCTCCAGCTCCTTCGGGACCAACTTCTCCAGGGCATTCATCGAGAGACTTTCAGGAAGAGGTTCTCGAGCTCCAAATTGGTCTCGTTTCCGATCTCAAGGTCTTCCATCGCTCCAATGCTCCCTGAAGAGTTTCATAAGATGCCCTCTCCGGGTTCGTGAGGGCTTGAAGCATGATTCTCTTCCGGCTCCCCGTCGAAGGATCGAACCTCCTGTGAAGCCGCCTCCAAGCCTCTAGTCCATGTCCTGTCTGGGTGTTCTCCACGATGTCGAAGGGGATGGACTCCGTAGTCGCCCGCAAGACCGTGTAGAGCTGCTTGTTGAACTCCTCAATGTCCTCCCACTGGTCGTTCATGTCGGCCAGCTCCCCAAAGTTCTGATCTATGTCAGCTGATGTTATCTCACTGTCCATCCCGGATGCCCACTCCAGTGCTTCTCTGCTGCGACCACCAAAGACACCCGAGACGTAGTCTTCCAGCTTTATGGACCAAAGGCGGAACCTCTGTTCAGCCTCCTCCCCAAGAACTTGGGGTTTCCCCAATCCACGTGGGTCTATCAACCCCTTCGGTCTATTGAGCTTGCTTAAGGCCTCAGGAAGTCCTTGTAGGGCTCGTAAGATCTCCGTCGCCTCAAGTCCACCTCCATGTTGTGGTGAACCACCAGCTGCCACCGTCGCCGCCGTGAGCTGTGCGATCTGCGCCTCATAGCTCGTCACTCTGTTCCTCAGCTCGGCATTCTCGGTCTGCTGCTGATTCACCTGTCCTTGCAACTGTTGGACCACCTGGGCAAGGTTCTCCATGGTCACCATCTTCTCCGACCAGGAACCCCACAATCACCAAAGGCACGCCTGCCCAGCAAAGGAAGATCGCCGCGGCAAACACGGCCAAGTAGACCACTCGTGTCCTCCACGGTGTCCACCTTGTAGTTGGCCGCCAGCCCAAGCTCAGCCGCGCCTCAAAGGCCACGCGACCCTTTGCCAGTGCAGCGCCGCAGGGTCTCGCTACCATGCAAATACCCCTTATATCTCCCTGGAATCAGTCATTTGTGCCCCAGATGGCTACCATGTGAAATGTCTATGGGAATTGCAGGATGTATTAATATTAAAATGTGGATATTAGTGTCAAAATATGGGGGTTTTCATAATAATCCCATGAAATACCATCATCAGTTCTATCAACGTTATCTCCCCATATTTGGATGCTTAAGAGCCCAATCATAAAATGGTTTATCCATATGGAGGTTGAACAAATCCATCGGGGTACCCCCATTCATGGAAACATCCCCCCGGATCCACCGAGTCACTGCAGAGGTTCCACGTAGTCAGTGGGCAACTGCAGTTGCTGAGCCGCCCAGGAGCGGATGCCGTACAACAACTCGTCTTCCTGGGAGGATCTGGGTGGACGATAGGGATAGTAGATTCATATAATATATGTAATACCATATTAGTTCAGTCACCATCAAACTGATGGTGAAACATGATATAAATCATATATATATATTGATATATATATATATATTGATATATATATATATATTGATATATATATATACAATAATATATATATATATAATATGATATTATATATATATAGTTGTATAATATATATAATATTATATAAAACATATATATCATAGTTGGTGTATATTCATTGAGTGTAATGATGAACGTGTATATTAGTAAGTGTAAGTAATATTGATATACAACAATGAGAATAAACATGTATTACTTACTGATACAGCTTTGCTACTTTTTGATAAAATAAGATATACTATCGCATTGCCATATTTCATACAATACTTACTGATGGAGATGGAGATAGTGAAAGTAATGCTGATATACCCTCTGGTAATGACTAACATAGCGAACTGGAAAATCACCAGCTTTCAATGGGAACATCCACTATTTCTATGGGGATAAACAATGATATAATGATACATTCTTTCTTTTCATAATGGGATGGCACAAAAAAAACGGCAGCTATAGAATAGGGACGCCTCGCCAGTGATAATGACGAGGATACATTCAAACAAGTGAGAGCAGCAACACTAATTAGTGTGGATGTATGTGTATATATGTATATATATATATATGAATATGTATGTATATATATATATATATCTGAACATAGGCCCTTTTTGTCCCCGTTCTATTGTTTTCTATCTGGGAACAAACATCCGATTTCTCGTTTGAGATTTTCGTCGCTTGGCACCTCGTGGTGGGGCAGGTTGAAAGTGGCCGTGGCCTCAGGAAATCTCTGGAGGTTTCCACATCTGGAAATCTCATGGGGGACAACCAATGATAGTATAGGATATCATTATCTATGATAGTATAGAGTATATGATTGTATAGTGTATAGTATATATCATATATTATCCAATACAATATATCATAGTATACTAATATATTATAGTATATATAATACAATATATGATTGGTATAGTGTATATATGATAGTATACCAATGATTATCTATATTTAGTCTATACAACCAATAATAGTCAGTGGAATATAGTATACTATATTATAATAGTCAGTGGAAATATCATCATCTCTGGGGACGACTTATCCAATTCAGTCACTTGGGATGACATGACCCCAATATGATGGGAAAGTCATAAAATTCCATGGTTCCAAACCACCAACCAGAATATGATTTGAATATGATTTGAATATGGTTTGGATATGATGGGATTCTCTGAAAATTAGGCTTACCAAATAATATATCCAAATCATATTCAAATCATAGAGTGGCCTGAGAACTACGTGTTTCCGACCACTTTCGATCGAACATGTTTCCAGGTTGGGCAAGTAGCATCAGTGGATGCTAACTGGGGTGTCTAATCCACTCACAATAGATCTTTGATAGAAACACACCTGCAGAAACCCAAGTTTATTGGTGACTCTCGACCTGGACATTTTCGGTTCCCAAATATCAGTCGTGTTTTTTTTTTGAGAGGGGACGTGATCATCACCAGTTGAGTGAGTCAAATCCCGAAGATCAACTGAAGATGGTGGATCACTATCAGCATCATTCCCATCATGTCAAGAAAAAGGTATCAAACTACCCATCCTTAGTCTACTTCCCTAAAAGGTTTTCATGTTTTTTCATGAATTGATTCAAGTGATTCCACATTTTTTTTCTTGGCTAAATCCCATATTGCCAACATACGCCAGGTTTTTGTGACAAAAATCCACCTGGGCTGGCTGGGCTCCAATTGGGCTCCAATGAGTACCATCCGAGCCACAGAGGTGCGGATGTTGTTCATCACCACTTGGTGTAGACTTCCACCGACCACTGTGCTGTTCTGCCAGAGCCCCTAAAAGGGAGAAACACCAACGGCTGGCCACGCGAATCGTAAGAAACGTCGTTTTTTTTAGAGCGGTGAAGATGGCATCAAACCATAAACATTTGAATGGGGATATATGATATATATATATATGATATATATATATATACATATTGATATATGATATATGGAGATATATGAGGATATTTACTTGTCCCCATTTTATGGAGCTGGCAGAAGTTCTGCCAGCTCAAAAAAACCATGTGGATCTCGTGTCACCATCTGGCCCCCATGGCTGTGGGAAGTAGTGGTAGAGGGGCTGATTGATGGTAGATCTTAAACCAACGAATATGACTTTGGTGTGTGCAATGATAGTTGGGTGTGCCACCAAAATGATCTTAATACAGAGAATGAGGATTAGCCAGGGGATTTAGGAGAAATTATGATCTGATTGATGGCTTTCACGTGTTTTCAGCCATCAAGATCTGGACAACCATATGATATGCATACATTTACCAGGTAATATGTCAAAAATGGATATATTATGGATATATTTACCATGCAATCTGGATAATGTATTAATTATTAAACGTGAAAATATTGCAATATACCCTGAGACAAATAATCATGTTTACCTGGGACATATAAAGGTTCTTACAGCTGGAGATCAGAGATATTGATGCTGTAGCTATCTTTCAATATTGAACATGGTAATATGGAACATTATATTGGCAATATTGTAACAACCATGTTCCATATGGGAATTGGTAATATTAACATGTTCCATACTACCATGGTAATTACCATGTTCATTAACCATATTAACCTTATGAAACCATGGTATATGTTGTAACACAACCATGGTTTCTCCATGAAATGACAGCCGCCTCCTCGTCAGCGCGACGAATGAGCTCTTGGCAAACAGTTGGTGATAGCGCTTGAGGCATCTGCAACCTGTGGGATCCCCAAAACGACAGATCGAGGTCTCCGAAGGACTCCGAAGTGAAAAAAGGGTCCCAGTGATCATTCAATGAATCAAGTCATCAATGACTATTTTAGTATTGCAACTTATGGTGACTCGGGGATCCACCATTTTTAAGAACCCCCCAAATCTGTTTCCAGGTTCCAACTTTCGGATCTATTTGGGATTTGGGACTTGCTATAGTTGGAGTGTAGGATTTTTAATGGGAAATGTCTATGGAATATCTATGGAATATCAGAATATCTATGGTTTGTAGTATAGTGAATCACCATTTTTAATGGGTAAACCAACTATAAATTGGAAATGTCGATGTCCAAGTGATGGAAAACACATGGTCATTCAAATCAGTGCATGATATGCAGCAGGCAGCTCCAGTGCGGCCAGCATGGCTTGCAGCATTGAACAAAGATGGAATCCACCACTTGTAGACCAACAATTGATGCATTAGATGTCTGATAAACTAGAACGGATTTTCCTAGCCTCACATGTTGAAGATTCAAATCGATTCAACATGATTAAACTTGAATTGAAGCTTCTGAAACTGGATTGCATCGGCCAGCCCATCATATTGACCACCATCAAACCATGGTGGTAATCTAACATGGCTGGAAAATGGTCCATTTGTTGATGATTTTACCGAAACTGGGTAGTTTCCATTGCTACCTGGTATGTTAGATTACCAGGGGGTAGGACAACATTTTGTTTTTCCCTATGAAACAATCCGGGAATCGTTTGGGCTTCAAAGTTTTACCCACTTTCCATGCTCGCCATGCGGCAGAGGGAAGGGATCCTTCGCCAAGATCTGAATGCCCCTTGGTTTCGCCGATCGATGGTCCCATCTGTGCAGATAGATGGGCGAAACATGCCAAAAACCCACACATTTTCACAGCGGAAAGAGCAGTTGGTGGCTTGGCAAAGAATTTTACTGTAAGACTTCGCAGTTGGTGGTTTTCGTACTCGAGTTTTGAGGTGGATCGTTTGCGTTGAAAAAGCTCCGATGTTCCTGGGTGAATTGGAACGTTTTTTCGTAAAATCACCTACACTTTCAATAGAAAAAACTTGGCATATCACATGCATTTCATCCGGTTTGGGTCTGAAACTAGGACCATCAGGGGATTTACCCATTCTGACCATAGTCGAAATGATGCACCAGTCGATTTCAAGATCCCCTAGGCCCTGTGGTGTTTTTTCAAGTTCGGTTTGTTGGTCCAACAAGTTCGATATAGCATAAATCCAATCGTTCACCTACCAACTTCGCCACTATTTTGGGATGTTACATAATTGGTTACTGTTCTGATTTTTTTTGAGGCTCGATATGGGGATATGGTCATTCCACCAGAGATGTATGGCTGTTCAGCCCTGGGCGGATGTGCCCAACAAAATGGTGGTTACCCTCTGGTAAACTAACATAGCTATTGAAAATGGCCATTTATAGTGAGTTTTCCCATTAAAAATGGTGATTTTCCATAGTTATGTTAGTTTACCAGAGGGTAAACCACCCATTGGGGGACCCACCAGCGGCAAGGCACCCATTGGTCGCCAGCTGGTCGAGGCGTTGAAACAGCTTCCGCGAGAGCTGCGGATCGACGCTGTCTGCCGGGGGGCCGAAGATCGCGGAGCAGTTGAAGCCTGGAACAACGGGAACACTGGCTTTCCAGTGGAGGGTTCATAGCAGGCCATTTAAAATATGGAAGAATCATTGTTATAGTCATAGTATATATAAAATTATATAGTTAACTATATAATGTTATATATAGTTATATGATGTTATATAGCTATATAATGGGATAGTAGGTATCTATATAGCTAATGATTGAATGGGATTAGTTCCTAATGGGATCCAGTTGGGGGGTTCGCAAGGCCGGATCCGCGGCGCGATCCTTGAAGCGATCGGTACTTTCTTCAAGTTCTTCTCATGGTGAAAGAATCAGATGGTGAGAAGCATAGAGAAATATAGAAATATATCCTGTATATACTATAATTATATACACTGTATATACTGCATGGATGTATATGGATGTTGGATCGGACTTGAAGGGATACACGACTGGATGTAATGTGGAAGCTGTTCTTTTAACAACACTACGGTTCATCGGTGATTCCGTCTGAGCAAGACTGGAAGATGAGAGAGAACTGCAACAAAATACGGGAACTTGAACAAATCTTTAAAGGGGACTCAAAATTCAGAATTTTATGGGGATTCTAGTGGAAACGCAATTCTTGGGAAACACTTCCCGATTTTAATGGGATTTGAGTGTGTAGATATTGGGTATCATGTAAAACTACATAATTGTCATATCACATCTATAAACAATACCCAATTATATGATATGATATGATATATTACATGATATGATATAATATGATATGATATCCATTTAGTGATATAATAAATGATAATACCCCATATATATGTATTACATAATTTATATTGATGCATCAATAAAATTGGGGAAACCACCGAGCAGCGTGCAGCTCAACCTCTCAACCTCCAACTCAACCATCTATCTTGAGTTGGTCATCCCCTGTTTTTGGGCTTTTTGTTGATTTGATTAAGACCCCTTCATTTTGCACGGTTCCTCTTCAAACACAATCTCGTATTGATATGTTTCTCAAAAGAGTTGACCTGTTTCACAATTGGTTTCCCTATCCAATAAGTTGGATGGCAACTTTGAGAATCCCCACTTTAGGACCCACCAATTTATATAACCACTACTTACCACCATTCATGATTGTTGCCATTTAATCAGACATCATCACCATCATTACAGATAATTATATAGAATTATTCACTATGATATTCACTATTCACCATTAAGATCCATTACAGACCATAAACAACCAGCATTTCATCACCATTTCTCACCATTTTTCACCCTTTTTTGCCATGCTTAACAGGGCCCCAAAAAACCCGCCATTTTTAGTTCGACCACCAAGGCAGTGTGGCGCACCCAAGTTTCCAGAGGCCCAACAGAAGACCGATTTCTCCTGGTGTCGGATCTTGCCAAACACATCACCGTTATAATCAACTGGTTGATAGGGATAAACCATATATATATATATATATCATATAAGAAATATCACCAGATGTTGAGATTTTCTGGTCATAGCTGGTTGATATGAATTTTATGCAGATATAGATCATAACCAGAATATATCAACCAGTCATGTGATGAACAACAGAATTGATATATATATATATAAATATTCATATTCTGTTGATATAGATCATAAACATATCAACCAGCTATAACCAGAATATAAACATCTGGTTGATATGGATCGTTATTATGGATCAACTATGGATGAAGAACTTCTTTGTTTCTTGGTGCCAAAGAGGTGGGGTGCAATGGATATCTTGGGGACACCAGCAGCCAACCGGGTGGTTGATGAGGTTGAAAGATCGTCCTGCTCGTTGGCCATTTGCTTCACTTCTTCCATCTTACCTCGATGGGCATTGTGACAGGCGTCCAAGAAGTGTAGGTTATTTTTTCCCCACCTTTTCCCATGTTCAAAACTCATGTTTCTATATTCTACCCTCTGGTTATGACTAACAGTTCGCCATGGTTTTTCGATGGCCCTAATCGAAATAGATGGTTACCTACTGTTACCTACTAAAAATGGGTGGATTTTCCATGCCAAACTGTTAGTCATAACCAGATGGTTAATCCCATTAAATCCCATTAAACCAGCATAAAAAGTCTTTAAACCACCATTTTCCTATGGTTTTCCTATGGTTTACCATACATTACTTAGTCATAACCAGATGGTATCCATAATTTTCCCCTTTTTTCCTCCCGTTTTTAGGATGAACATCCGAAGATTCGCCCAGCCACGCAGCAGGGTCTGGAAGACGCCCTGATGTGCGTAACGCACCTCCGAGAAGGACCAGGCCAGTTCCTCAGTTTCCCATCTTTGATCAGTCAAAGATTATGGCAATAGTTCGTGAATTCCCATGAAATTCGCATGATTTCCCATATTTCTTATGGTAAAATCAATCGTTTGCCAGTTTTTGGTGATTTTCCATCGCAAAAAGCAAAAGGATTCAACTAGCCATCCAGTCGGTTGGGGATGTGAACGGTGAGTTGTCAGTGGACAAAAAACCCTTGGGTGACCAATTTAACTGGTAATCATGGTATGGTGGCTGGAGGATCCTGGAATCCCCTAAACATTTGTTTTTTTCCGCTAAATAAAAGGTGATGAATCATTGCGGCATGTTTCATTGCGGCTAGAAGGCTACCAGTGATGCTGCACTGTTTCTCTTGTTTTGCCATTTTTGATGCTGCCCTGGTGATGAAAAACCCCCGGCGGCAACCATCGGCAAGGGTCCGCGAGGGCACGAGGGTTAAAGCCCTGGGGTCCTGGAGGAAAATGTGGATTTCATCAGAAAATATTGGTGAATACACTCTGGTAAACTAACATAACCATGGAAAATCACAATTTTTAATGGGAAAAGCCACTATAAATGGCCATTTTCAATAGCTATGTTAGTTTACCAGAGGGTAACCAACATTTTGTTGGGCACATCCTTGGGGCTGCATCAATACATCTCTAGTTGAATGACCATATCCCCTTTTTTCGAGCCTCAAAAAGATAGAACAGTAACCAATTTAGTAACATCCCAAAATAGTGGCATTCATTGTTTTTGTATTTTTTTGGGGGGTTACTAAATAGATAAATAAATAAACATATATACCATGGCCCATAGTATATGATATAATATATAAATATATATAACGCATATATATATATATATGTATATACATCTATGTCCGCAAATAACCCATGCAACTTGAGCACGGCACATCTCCCCACGCCTGAGGCTACAGATTTCGCAAGTTCCTGCAGATCGCTTTGCCAGAAGCGATTGGAATCAATAGAAATGGTGGTTACACCAGCAAAAATCTGGCAATTGAAACACCAAAATTTGGGTTTTAAATATCAACACTTAGGATTGAGCCACTAAAAACGGGGTGGCTGAACTGGGACTTAACGATGCGTTGCATCCATGAGAATGGTATGTTGATATTCTGAAAGTTTATCAGTGGTAGATTGTGGTTCATCCATCACTAGTTGTATGGCGATCTAACTCATCCGGAGATTGCGAGTAATTGCGCATGTTTGAGACAAAGCGATGTCAAGATGTCGCTCTTATGTCGGTCACATTTGTCTGAAAACATAGACACTTAAATTAATTGTTGAATCATCATTCTCTCAATTAAAGTATGAAAATTACCATAACTGGATCATCTTCAGACACACCCAAATTGGATAGTTGCTTCATGTTGGATCATGTCATGGTTCGTCATCGCCGCGCCTGCCAGGCGCTTCCTTCCCGTACCCCAGCGTAGCAAAGCGCCAGACTAGTGATCGCCAGGGTTTCCGGCGACGCGCTGGGTAGCATGGACCTGGCGCTGGGGATTTCCCATCGAGCCGGAAATGTATGTGGCCTCGCCATGTGAATTTGACAGATTGGAGAATAAGGTTTACATCATCATCATCATCATCATCATGATGCATAACAAACATTATGCAGCTATGCATGTTCTGAACCGTGTTCTCCATTTATGCCGTTTATGCATGATGAATTTCCTCCAAAGCTTTTTGGTCCACCTCAAGGCCAATCCCAACATGGGATGTAGTGGCAACAGCTTCTTGCGACCTTGGGACGTACTTGAGAAAGAAACTCAGGTTGCAGAATCTCATCTTCAATGGGATTTTACTGTACCATATACGTGTTTGTTTTTTTTCCATATTAATTTACCATATTGATCATATGTAATCAATCAATTTAACATACTAATCATCATTAAACATGATTTAATGTTTTTTTTTTGCAAGGATATGTTTCGATGGGATTAATATTGATGCGAGTTTTTCTCGCTGGCCATCTTTTCTAGGGAAAAAATGTGCATATAATCAGCAAACAGATTTGGACCTGCACTTGATAGGGGGAAGATACCAGTTGTTTGGGTGTGGCGACCTACAAGTAAGGACCAATGAACACACAGCAAGCATGCAATGGATAGGGGATATCCTTTTTTTGGTACTCAGCCAGATTATTTTCACAGGAAAATCACAGGTGATTTGACCAAGTCACTAAGTCATCCTCAACGGCCCTGAGAAATCCCTCAGATTTTTTTTCACCCCCACTGAAAATGGCATTTTGAAGTGGGAAAATATGGGAAAATGATGAACCACTGGATTATAGATGGCTTTCAAGCCATCTATCGAAGTGTATAATACACCATGGCCACCCAGGTATCCATTGCATCTTCAGTGGCTCTTCTGCTTCACAAAGTTGTGTAGGAAACGAGTCAACCCCTGGCGGTTCCCGGTTCCCCAGGACGGGATGATGTTGGGGTTTTTGGTCTTGAAGGATAGGGAATTGGCTACTGCACAAATACATGCATATATATATATAGATATAGATACATAATATGTGTGTATATATATACACACTGTTATACCTCAAATATAGATATAAAATCTAATATAGACAAAATACAATATGATAAATGATGATAAATGTATCAACTCACATAGTTGCCAGCCATCTTCGTGGTTTCCTCCTCTGCGCTTTGCTCCTTGTAAGTCATCCAGGGAGGATTTCCATATATCGTTTGTGCAATGTTTGTGTCAGTTTTCTGGCAATGTAATTGGATCATGTTCAGCCGTTTTCGCGGTACACCCAGTTACAGAGAGGATATGGGATATCTTGGGTCAAGAGATGGCTTCGAGCAAGGCATATTGCAAGGTTTTTTTTCATGGAGTCCTCTTAAATTTAGAGAAACATGGTCCAGACATGGTTTTTTTTGCATCTCTTCCATTCTGACATGCAAATGCCAATGAAGAGCCTCTGATTCCAATGGCCTCAGATTCAAGCTTTCTGGTATCCCTTATGCACCCAAAAAACTTTATTTTTTCAGCGTGAAACATCATTAGCCTATAATAGGTGTATATATAATATATATATATATAGTATCCAAGGATATCCAAGGTTTGGCTGAGGGAAATCTCATTGCCCCTCGTACCTCACCTGAGCGGGCGGGCATTTGTGACCACCTGCCTGCGGGCCATTTTTGACTGGCCTTTGGTGCATTGGTGCGGCTCTTTGGTGACCGCGTCAAAGCACTGTGCTCTGCTGGAGTGACCAACCAGCAACACCTTCTAGCATTGGTCAAGTGTACAACGCCATCGAGATCGGGCTTGGCACCTTCATTGTTCAGTTTGACATCGTCCTGAACACCTTTGCCATACTCCCCCTCTTCTTTGGCTACTACATGCCCATTTTGCTCCTGTTCATCTTTGTGACCATCTTTGTATCCAAGGATAACATCAACCCGGAGGAGAAGAGAGCGCCGTGGACGGGCGACCGCCCGTTTTCAGTGGCATCTCCATCGTCGTGGCTTGCAACTTTTGACAAAACAACAGCTTGCATCCATTCACGACCGGCTTGGAAGGCATCACTCGAAGGACCCTGTGTTTCTTCGACAGCTACAAGTAGCAATGTCGACTACATCCAGGGCACCGTGGCGCTGCGTGTGGTGCAAAAGGTTGAACAAGAACCACGCGATGACGTGTGGTTCATGCTACACAAGTTGGGAACACTGTGTGGACATCAACTATGTGCACGGCAGCCAGAATGCCAAGAGTCCCAGAAGACGCCAACAGCAGCAATGGGAAGAATGGGAAGAATCTACATGGGAGGCACCTGCAAAGAAGGAGAAGCATCCCAAGACAAGGAAGGTTACGCAATCACCTCGACCGAGGGGAAGTACGCCCAGAGGCAAGAAGAAGCAATCACAGTATGGAGCTCCTGCGTTGGAACCGCCATGGAAGGGTACAGATGCTGTGCCAGTGCAACCACAAGCCTCCACAGCGACCAACGCACATGCAGAGCAGCAACTGAAAGAACTTCTCGAAGCACTGGAGACTTCGGAAAACCCTCTTTCAGCAGATGTGCAAAAGGTGGTCGAGAAGACCAAACAACCGATTGCAACTGCGAAATCAGTTCGACAAGCTTTCCATCACCTCGAGCAGAAAAGGAAACATCTGATCGCAGCACAGAAGGCAAGAGCCAACCTGCATCACTCCTGGAACACCTACCTGGAGGAGTCCATCAAGCGCTGGCGCACTTTTGCAGAAGATTTTGCAAAGAAGGATGCGGCGCTGGAGCAGAAGGTTGCAGAAGCCAAAGATGCGATGCTAGAGGCCAAGGAGAAGCACGATGCAGCGAAAGCGGCATTGGACAAGAAAGATGCGGAGGTTCTGGATGCAGAGGAAATCTCAGAAGACATGGACGAGGACGTGCCGGAGAAACTAGCATCTGCGGAGGAAATCCAGACTGGCATCACCACGATGTTGACCACTCTCGAGAATGGTCGTGTACGGCCAGCAGAGGAGACAGAGGAGGAACAGGTCAACAAAAAAGCCAGGCTCGAGGGCACCGCCAAAGCCTTAGGATCTGGTGCTATGCAGCCTTTTGGCAAGCCCGACAAATAGACCAACATGCGGAGGTTTGTCCAGGGCATGAATTTGGACAGCATCCAGCTGTTCTCCAATGGCAACATTCAATCTTGGAAGAATTGAACTTTGTTCCAGAATGGAAGGCATCCATTCAGGCTTTAGACCTGCAGTATGAGCTCAATCCGATGTGTGGAGCGCATTCAGAGCGAGCACCAAGCAGATCTATGTCAAGACGAGCATGGCAGCGAGCCTCTTTTGCAGACAAAGCAGATCTCTATGTGGGCCCAGAGAATGACTTTTTCTTGCAAAGATGGCCGTTGAGCCTTGCGCAGAAGACATCGGAGGCAATGATTTTTCAACCGCATCACATTTCTGATGAAGTCACCTTCATGGCTGTTCCAGTTCGACGCGAAGATCGTCAACTACCAAATGGTGCACCAAATCAGATCATCGATGACGCTGACATTGCCATGGATCCCCAAGAAGCAGAAGACCAGCTGCAGCTTCAACAAGGAGCACATGTTGATCTTGCTGACTATGAACTTGAATCAGTGCTAGAGGAGGCGTCTGACAGGGAAAGCACAGCAAACGCCCCAGACTGGCACTCGACAGTCCTTTTTGCAATTGATTTCGAGGAAACTCCATTGCGTTTGGACTGGAACGATCATGACAGCTACCACAATTTGGTAGCACAAGCATTGGCCATTTCTATTCACCAACTTTATGACACTCACCAAGTACGGCATCGTCCAGATGATCTTGCGAGAGCAAACACAGAAGCCATCATTGCGCATCGACATGGAGATCTTTCACCAGGATCTGCACTACGACTGGTCCTTATTGATGTGGAATTTCACAGCGCCTCGCCGACAATCCAGCCAGAGATTGTGAGAAGGGTCTACAAGTTGCCGCCTCACATTGGCAGAATCACGTTGCTGCATTCTCTTGGCCTTGGACATTATTGTCGAGCTCAGAACGATCAATGCATTTGTTGGCACAACCATGAGATGACCCCAAGAGGCAGTGCAGCTCTGATGTCCATCAACGATGGGGATTACCTCAGAATTGCCATTCCACCTGGGGAAGCAGAACACTGCCATCTTGGGACGCGCAACCTTGCAAATGTTTTCCATCATGGCATTACAGTTGAAGAGCTCCAAGATCATCAAGCACTACGAGCAGCAGGTTGGACAAATTCACAGCTGACGTCATCCATGGTCCCCATTGCGCCTGATTTTGAGGTCACAGAAGATCATGCACTACTACAATCCTGGATGACGCCAAAGCTAGATGAACGACCTGATTTTCTAGACAAGGACTTTGTGATGCCCGTTTTTGCCATGAAGTCACATGGAGAACAAGACGCACCCATCTTCCATACGTCTTGTGATACCATCATGCCAGCCCCGGCGAACCGGGGACAAGATCTAGCAGACCAGCCAGATGCAATCAGGCAACTCCATCAACGCCGACATGACCAGGCAAGAGCTGCCACAGAGACAGAAGATGATTCTTTTGTTGTTCAGACATGGTACCTGAGCTTTCCACATCATCAGCGTTGTGTGGCGTCCAGAGAAGTCCGCCTTGCAGAGGACTACTGGCATTGGCAACGTCACATCCTCAGAGCATGGCAAGACATACATGAGGACAACATGCCGGCGGAGCTCCACATTGTATATCCGAATCCTCCTGGGCGAACATTTGTGGATAACCGCCAATGCCATGTCATTGTGGTCTCAAGGTCTGTGGCTGACCAAAGGGCATCTGTCATCACTGTCTTGAACAATCGAGTGGCCACCGGCAGTGTGTATGAACAGGTAGCGCTCTTCGCGCCAATGTCAGCCACGTATGATGAGATGCTCACATTTTTTGCTCTTGATACTCTTTGTGGCAGAGATCTGGAGGCGCGTCATTGTTCTTTTTGGCATGGCGAGG